TAACATCTCTACGACAAAGGGTCAAAAATGGTTAGTAATAGTCTGAAATGGTCATTGAAAAGTGTTAAACCTCCAAGATACAAACGTCCAGAAACTCAAGCTGTTCAAAGGAGCCCGACGCAGTCGCCTTCTGACTACGCGGCAAGGCAATTGACGCGCTAGCCCTTCAACTGATCCCTGGTTGGTCGATGTTGCTGCCCCTGCGATTTTTGCTCACTAACCTAATGATTGTAGCTATTAGCTTCAAGCGTCAATCGAAAAACACCCTACAAAACCTAAAAAAAAAACAGACTTTAAAAATTAGGCCATCATCGGCGGCTGCAAACTACAATTTTCATAAAATACGGACGGAACTGATGGAATATCCGCACGCCACGTGCCCCACCTCAGCGAGCAACAGATGTGCGTGGGAATGAAATATTTACAGCAGCAATTTCCCCTGCCTCTCCCTCTCTCTCTCTCTCTCTCTCTCTCTCTCTCTCTCTCTCCTCAATCTCTTTTCAATTTTTGGGTGGCTGTTGCCTTTGAAGGGATCCCCTGGCTTCTGAACAAGTGAGGGCGGCATGGCAAAACACCTCCCTCGTTACTCGCTACGAAAAAAATCAGAGCTGCTGGAGGAAGAGGGCGAGTCACGCAGGTTAGCCATCCCATTTCATTTCCGGTTTGGGTTCCGAATTTAGAAAGTTGATAGCGCCAGGATAAAAAGACATTATATGTTTACTAAGTTTAAACGAAAATTCGCGTTAAAGTGATTGTGTTAGTTCGAAATCAAGGGAATGAAACAGAAGCAACTGCTATGAATATACCAAAAAGCGAAAGTTGACACAAAAATAAACTCGAAAAACGCGAAAATAATAGAGAAAAAACAGCGAGAAAGAGCCAGAAAAAGTAAAAAAAACCAGCCAAGTATTTGGCACAGAAAAGCTCGAAAGCGAAAGCCTTAAAAAATGAGTTAAAATTTGTGACAGCCGCTAAATGCTAAATATTCAAAATCAGCAGCTTATTTGTTACCCTTGTTTTTTCTCTTGCGCAATCCTATACTTTAGTGCCCCAAAAGAGCAACCAAAGGAAAGTTGCGGCTTTCAGATCCCGTTTTGAGATCCCTGATATCTGATGGAACGCCCTTTGGAGCCAGAAAAATTTGAGTGGCCGTCCAATGTGTTTTTTAGGTCAGCTGTAAAAAGCGTTAGTCTTTGCCCCCACCCCGGAATTGGTCGGTATCTAGCCCTTAAAATCTAGAGCGTGACTCTCCCCACTTTAGAAGACGTGGAGATTCCGAATTGCCATGCCACAAAGATGGACAAATAGAGTGAGAAAGAGAAAGACAGAGCGAGAGAGAGAGAGATACAGAAAGACAGAGAGAGAGAGAGAGAGAGAGAGAGAGAGAGAAAGAGAGAGACAGAGAGAGAACGATGAAAGGAATACCCTTGATTTTCTTATGCCTTTTCGCAGGGCGCTTAGGTTGGGCATCGTGACCAACAGAAAGTGCAAAAGCAATGCATCCCCCGTTGTTCTAATAAACCCAATTTGTAGGGCCCGTTTAAGGTAGGGGCCACCGAAAATATACGTTTCCACATCATTTTCAGCGTATACAGCTTGAAATTAGCAAAAGCGTTGCGAAAAATTGGAAATATGAAAATCTGGTCGAGATGGAAATCCGAGAATTGACGCCACACAGCCCAAAGCTACGCCATGCGCCAAAATACGCGCTAGAATATTTAGCGAGTGAATACGGGAGGTTGTGTGGTGCGTCCGGAGGAGGTAATTTTTGATCAAAAAAAAAGAGAGGAGAAGAAAGCGATATAGAGAGGGGAGAAAGAGAGAGAGAGAGAGAGAGAGAGAGAGAGAGAGAGAGAGAGAGAGAGAGAGAGAGAGAGAGAGGAGATCGGGAGAGACAGAAAGATAGAGATGGATAGAGAGAGAGAGAGCGAGAGAGAGATGGATAGAGAGATAGCGAGAGAAAGAGAGAGAGAGAGAGAGAGAGAGAGAGAGAGAGAGGGGCAGCGAGGTCAAAATAAATTTATATTAAAATCCTGCGAATGCAAAGCGAATCTTTGATCATCAAAGTAACCCCGTCGGAACCGGAAGAATTGTGGGCCCTGGAAGCCGTGAGTGCTTCCCGGGTCCCACAGAAGAAAAGCTGGGGCAGGCGAATCAGAAGGACCAGAAGAATGAGAATCGCCCGGTGGCTGCAGCCATTAGTGGTATAGGGCCCAAGGAAAAGCCGAGCAAAGAGTGAGTGGCCAGTCATGTGCATTTATTCTGACAACGCTCGCCGCGTCTTCGCGGTGGTCAGCCAGGCAGAAGGGGATCGGTGCTGTGCTTGGGGGTCTTATGCTCTGGACACGGCGGATATTTACGTCTGGGGTTTTTCGGGAAAAAAAGGTTTGGTTCAGGGCTGGAGGATATCGCGATTTTTCCGCGCGTAACGGAATTGGGCAGGAACTTCGAGCTATAAACGCATCCCGAGATTCAAAATTAGATTTTTCTAATATTTCGCAATATAATAAATGTTTGTAATTATAACTTTTCAAAACCGGTGGTCTCTCTTAATTTGTAAGCTTTTAGGTATTAAACCTGTTTTAACTAATAATTCCGAATGAGGTACCATCGCTAATTCTGGCCCAGACATTGCTACGCCCCCAAAAAGCCATGGGAATCTCGAGAAATTCACCGTAACCGGAACCAAGACCAAGACACCCCTCCGTCGTTGTGTGTAGCCTAGCGCTAGCCGGTCTAAAAAATTGAAAATCACTCAAAAATTCTGGCGGCTTCGTCGGGCGGGCCGACCGGGTGGCGGGCGGGGTGGGGGCGTTGCTACGCGAAGCGGCAGAATTTTTCCGCAGCGGGGCGTGGATTCAGTAGCTACGACATTTTCAAATTTCCGAGATGATACATTGGACGGGGTCGGGATGGGTTGAAAAATTGGCATTTCAAGGCGCAAACGGTTGAAATGTTGCAAGGGCCCTGCGAAATTGGGTCCCGCAGCGAAATCCCGAAAAATGGTGGTAATTTACGCATTAATAGGGGGCGGATAAGTGAAGTATTTTCCGGGGTAAGAAGAGGTCATGTCGGAGAGATAATTAAAAGACTGGCGTCGAGAGGGGTAGATGTTTTAGTTGAACTAATCTCCGAGACGAAATGACCTCTGCCTCTCTCTCTCGCTCTCTCTCTCGCTCTCTCTCTCGCTCTCTCTCCCCAGAAGAAAGAAATGGAAGTCACCCCCCCCCCCTTCTCTCCGTAAGGCTACGGGATGACGCGCCAATTTTCGCGGGAATGGCGGGGCTGAAGAAAAAGTAGATGAGGTCTGCTGGGAGGAGGATGGGCTCTGGAACTCCTTACTTCTTGGTGGAGCCCCAGGGATAGGGAGACAAAAGTTCGAGGCTCAAACAACATGAGCCCGAGGTGGGGAAGGGCTGAATTTTCAATCGAACCTAAAAAGCCAACAGCCACGGCCAAACCAGAGCTCAAAAAAGCACAAGGAGCTAGTTGGCTCGTTTTCGATACCTTTAAGGGGATGGTAACATTGCTTGCATGGTCCCTTAAAAAAATAAAACGCTTTTAAGAAAACATCCCCGGTCTAACGGCCCAGTTTTGGGAGACCGCCAAAAATGGGCGCCGCCCCGGCCCGAAGATGAAGGTGTTTTTCGGGCGTATCGAAGCGGAACCAAACTTTAGATGGCTGTCTGGAGGTGCGGCCTACCGCACTTTGCATTTAAGAATAAGCTCCGAAACAAGATCTCGGCGGTAACCGAAAGTACCTGGTTTTTGGCAGCCCTCCAAGTTCCCGGACAGCATATCGAAAATTAATACGTGCCAAGGTTTCAAAACGTCATTCCGGACTGCACCGTAGTGCAAAAGGCTCGAAAATTGCTTTGTTAAAAAAGCGGCGACAGAAAACGCCAAAGAAACAAGTGTCGTTTAGTTTTTGCAGCTGAAAAATGACGAGTCGAGGGCCCTTCTCGGAGACAATGGTCGGCCCCACCCAGCCGGTAATTTCGTTTTGTTCGGGATGGATGGGTGCGGAAAAAGGGTGTCTCGCTCACGCAACCTACTCGCCTGCTCGATGAGGAATCAGATTTAACGGAGCCGACAAGGCCTGCTTTTTCTATGGATTTTTCTGCGCCGTGCAGAACGTCGAGCGTTCGCATTTCCATTGCGTAATGGATTACGCCTGGTTTTTGGCACCGGGGTGTGGCAAAATTCATAGGAAATTCATAGCACAAAATTCAGCGTGATAACTTGTCATCACTTTAGGAATTGCCCGCATCGAATACTCCAAAAATTAAGTTTAATACTAAAGATAACTTTATTTAGCCAGTTTTTAAATTAAATTCAAATTGCCGTTCACCCCCGGTCTTAGAAAAAGAGTAACTGGACGTAATTTCCGGGTGCCGAAAGCGTGCTTCCCAAATTCATATCTAGGGCCTGAGGTAGAGATCGGTAAAACGACTTACCTACTAATTTTTTGCCTTTAGCAATTTTTACCCGAAAATTGAGCTTTTTGAGGTTGAAAAGTATGAAAACAACAAAAACTAGGAACCTTCGAGGTGAACTCCCAGGTCTTTCTAGTCGAACTCCACAATGGCCAGACGCCAATTGTTTCATCGTGTCCTTTCGGCGAAATTCTTTAAATACCGGGCAAAAAGTGGAAAAACGCACAAAAACAAGCAAGACAACATCTTTATTCGTGGACAGACATCATAGAAAATGGAGCGAGATTTCAAGGCGAATATTGCATTCGCGTGGAACAGGTATGAGTTTTTACTGTAATCTTGGAGTAGGTTGGTGAGGATGACGTGGAGTAGGAGAGGAACCTGAAAAAACACAATTAGAATTAGTGCGAGAGAGAGACAGAGAAGATGAGAGAGAGAGATAGAGAAAAAGAGAGAGAGAGAGAGAGAGAGAGAGAGAGGGAGGGATAGAGGGAGGGAGAGAGAGAGAGAGAAGGTGATTCACTAGATACAACCAAACTTACCGTAACCCTTCCTATACATTCAGACCTCTGAAGACCCTGCCAAGCGGCTTTCCGCCGCCCTCGACAAGTCCAGCTAAGCGTGATGGTATAGGTAGCAGCATCACCCCGCCGGAGCCCCACTGTAACTCACCAGGGAGCGCTGCCGGACAGCCCGGCTAAACTGCGACTCGCCGATGCCGTCGTCCGAATTCCCGACACCCCGGCTCGACGAATTGGGCGGGTTCGCGGGGTAGATCACCACCACGTTCCGGAAATGTATTTCTGAAGGTAAAATAACAGTCAGAAAACGCCAAAAGCTCACGAAGAAGCGCCAAAACAATCGCCACTGCCAGCGCGCCGCCATGAACGCCGGTTCCCCAGTAGATGAGCAGCCCCTGCTCGTCCTCGGCCATCACGTCCCATTCGTGGTGGTGGGGTGACTGCAAGTCGGAGGGGGACACCTCAGCACCCTCGTCCGAGCTCGTGTAGCTAGAGTATTGGATGGTAAGGTCTGAAGAGAGCGAGAGAGAGAGAGAGAGAGAGTGCGAGAGCGAGAGAGAGAGACGGAGAGAGAGAAAGAGAGATAGAGCGAGATCCAAGTGCAGTACCTTTCATCGTAGCCAGATTGTGGCCCTTCGGCGGTTCGGTTTGTAGCGTGATCATCTGGGCTACCCGGCACGCAGTAGCGCTTCTCGTCGGCCACAAAGCCCGTGGGGCACCGGTCGACGCAGTACTGAAACATCGAGGTTTACTGGAAGCCTCGTGCGCCGGGTAAAGCTCGATATTTCGTGCAGTATATACAGGATGTCCCAAAAAAAGCACCCCCCTCTAGCGGCGCGCAGACGTGTTCGTTTCACGCCGTTTAGGTATCTATCGAAAGCTCTCGACAAGGCGAGAAAACATGGAGGGTTCATTATCTTTATTATGTATTTTTATTGGCGAATTTTACCTCCAGATTCCATGAAAACGGCAGATTTACGCGAGATCCGCATGCTAATTGAGAAATTCCTATTGAAAAGATACCTGTTTTTTTAGAAAAATGCTGAATATCGGACAAATCAGACCAATGCTTAGAAAATGAAGCCCGCTTGTTTTCTCGTCTTTTCGCGGGCTTACGAATGGTATAAAAATCATCCTGCTCCGAGCTTACCACGGACCGGTAGAGGGGGGTGATTTTTTTTTGGGACACCCAGTAGATATGTCGCCGGCGTTTCGAATCTGTCGAATGCCGAAAAAACTACCGTTTCAAGTGCGGTGGCCACCATAAAATTCCGGCAGGCGCCGCATCGATGACGATTTTGCGGGTCACAGGCCCCGACGGCGCATTTGAAGTCGCAAGTCTAGCGGAAGCAGTATAGCATGTCTTTGAATATACCGGTGATTGCGGCGGATTGGGTGTACAAGAGGATCCATTTCCAGATACGTCGCCTCCTTCGCAACTCTGAAAGGGCCATTTGAGCAATTTCTCAAATCGGCAAAATCTTTATAATACCGAGAAGCTAACATACCTGACATTGCCAGGGACAATCCAACCGCCATGGCTGTCCGTTTAGCACCGTGTAGTAGTAGCCACTGCAAAACTGGAGGTGATTTAGCTTTGGTTTATCAAATTCTTTGATTACAAAGGCCTACACTTCGCCTGGCGGAACCGTAGAGACAGTCGTGTTTTCGACGCACTCCTCCAACGCTTGCATCGGGTCATCAGTTGGGGTTGTCGATCGTCGAATTGCCAAAACACGGCCCTCCTCGCAGCGTTGGCATTCTGAAAGCCAAAATCGTCGTCGTGACCTTGGTGCCCTTAGTTGTTTTTGTGTCTTTTTTGGCTTTCAGGGTTCTTAGAGGGATCCTTTGGACAAAATATTCCAAAAAAAAAGCGTAGGATTCGGAGTAGTATTCGTAAAGTACAAGTTTCAGATAGCTTCATCATGAGCCCTCCCTCACCACTGGCCCATTCGTCACAAATCTCGCAACCCGGCACCATACACAACCGGCACAGCTTCGGATCTTCCGGATCACGGGCCCAGAGCGATAGAGGTTCACCACCCGTCGATTCGCTAAATTTTGATCGACGGCCAGCAATGTCAACAAACGGTTGATTGCAGCGCTTGATGCATTCCGGATTCTTTCCATCAACATTGCGCATCAACAATCCGGGTCTGCACATCGTGCACGAACTGTCCGGCTGAAAGTGAGAATCGTACTCCTTCTCGTCGGTCTTCTCGGAGGCGGCCTTGTAAAGTCACAAACCGTGCACGACGCACAACCGGCCTTGCATCGCGATTCAGCCGGCGTGGAGCTGCTAAATGGCCAAACTTGGTAACAATCATTGGCTAACTCATTATCTTTGTGAATCCGTTGGCAGCGCAGCTTCGACCGGTCCGACCACAGCTCGTAGCCCCCGAAATGGATCAATAGCGAAGCCCAAGCTGGATCTGGTTGGTTAGCGGGGGGGGGGCGGGAGCCGGCAGCTACCTTCTGACAGCATTTTTAAAGGGCTTGTTTGAGCTACAAGTCTCTGAGACTACAACTCGGGCCGCCTTGAAAGGGTAAGACTCCAGATACCCCCACCCCAGCCGGCAACCAACTTTTATATCTCCGCTCCCTGTTCATCTACAGGTGTATAAAGTATACCAAAATGTTCGCCTTGCTGTGGCGAGTATTTTGGTATACTTCACACACACACACCTGTAGATGAACAGGGAGCCAAGATACGGTAGGTGGGGTCGGCAGGGGGGTTATCTGGAGTTTAGCCCTTGAAAGAATTTTGAAAACCATGGCTATAAAAATTTGGAAACCCTACCCCCCCCCCCGCTACTGAAACATAACCGTCAAGCTTACTTGATACAGCCAAAGACGGTGGGCTCGTATTGGTCGGCCCATTCGTGACATAGCCATCCCGTACAGTCCAAGCAGCCCGTTTGGCACTCATTGGACAGGTCCTCTCCATCCGGACCTAACCGCATTTCCGGTGTTGTCTCAGCAAAAACGAGATTCAAGATGATGAGGAAAAACCATGGCCATGACATCGTTGGCTCTGAATAACCGTCACGACGATATCCAAAAACCGACCAAATCAACCGCCTGGTTGACAAAAAATGCGCCAAAAATGAAATCCGATAATTAGTTTCGGAAATGGTAATTATGTTTCGGCGCCGGATTAGAAACTTTTGCAATTTTTTTCGAGAAGAGCTAGCTAGATTGAAATTTGTAATCTAAACTTGTTTTGTGTGATTTGCTGAAGTGTATTTTGCAAATTGAAATCATTTATCGACCCGTTTTTTATTATGCCCGATACCCGCTCTGTACTTCTTCGCCCTTCTTCTGCTCCTCCAGCTTTCGAGCCCCGGCCAGCTCGAGTGCCACCTGCATCACCCGTCGCTGCTCATTCTCCTGGAGTCCCAGTTGCCGGAGTACCTAAAATCAAAGTTTTGGAAAAAGTCGAGGATGCTTCCGCTTAGGCTCAAGTATCGGCGTAAGCATCTTAAGCGTACCTTCGGGATGGGGAGGATCTGATCCTCGTTGCTGTTCTCGTAGAGCGCAAAGATTGAGGGCGATAGGATGCCTTTCTTCTGAAAAAAAATTACTTCTAAGGATTTTTCATACTGTGTGAGATTCCGTTTCTTAAGTTTATCTTTGATGTAAACTACCTCATCGCTTTCCGGTAGAACCGAGGCAAACTTCGGGCTCAACAGAGTCAGTGATCGATCCTTCGGGACATCCTTCTTACGACCAGCCAACCCGGCGATCAAATCATACGTCTCCCGGGCCATTGGCACGCTCTAAAAAAACCAGTTCCAAAAAGGTTTTTGAAATACCCACCGCCGGTTCCTCCTTCTTCCCCTTGGGCCCAAATCCGACATCGAAAAATTCTGCTTTAGTACCGGGGGATGGCGACTTGGCGGCTTTGGCTTTTTCGGCGAGGTCTTCATGTCTTTGGAGAAGCTTTTCCTCATCTAGGGCTGTCCCGTTGGGGCGGAGGAAGGAGAGGATTAACTGAAAGACTTTGTTTTGGGATGAGTTGGACCTACCGAGCTCATGCTAGACACCGGCGATGCTGTTCTCCGGTTCTCATTCATCAGATCGGCCATTGAGGACGCGGAACGGACCTAAAAGGGTAAAAACGGTAAGATTAACCATCGGCCTATTTTGTCCTTACCTTAAAATGTGCCCTCTTGGTCACGGGCATTTTTTTGGTGGTTGTGGTTGTCGTAGTGGTTGTCGTAGTGGTTGTCGTTGTTGTGGTAGTCGTGCTCGAAGTCGTAGGTTTTTCCGTAGTCGTACTCGTAGTGGTCGTCGTCGCCGGGTTCAATTCGAGCTTCAACCCCTCCATGGCTTCTTGGAAGCTTAAAAGGGGTAGATTAAGTAAGCTAGAAGACAAGATAAACCTGGCTGTTCTCTTTCCATTCAACTTCATCTCCGACCGAAGGGCAAGAAGGCGATTCCGGAAGGCTAGCCGGGCTTTTTCGGCAGGGGAGAGCTAAAGTTGATATTTTTTAATAAGCAAAATAGGCATTTGAGATTCTAAGGATGTAGTTTATAGCCGTTGATACCTTTGTCCCGGGTTTCGGGGACTTCCCGCCTGGCAACTTTGTAGTTGGTGCCTCAGATCCGGCAGGCGTTGTCGCGGCCGCATTTGCTTCTGTCATACACTCGGCCAACCTCTCGACCACCACCTTCTTCTTCATACAGAGGGAAAATGGGGATCGGAGCTCTAGGAGGATCATTGAAACAAGTTCTTTGCATTACATCGCGAATTTTTTTTTGAATAGTTGTTAACTTTTAAAAAAACCCAGTGAAGTTTTGGCATGATCAATCGAGTTTTGAGGGATTTCCGTAAAAACTCGCACTTATTACCTACAAACAACCGAAAATTTCGTAGCGTCACCACCATGCTTTTTTAATTACTTTTTTAATACTTTTTTAACACTACGAAAGGTACCAATTGTTCAGGGCTTTCCACGGTAAATCGTTACATTTCAAAAATTCCTTTCCCTGAATGCCCATTTTTGTTGGTGCTATTGTGTACTACTCCACTCAAAAAAACGGCCCGGAGAAAACAAAGTCGATGAAAACAACAGGAATACCTGGCGGGAGGGCGGCGAGGCGCTCGGCAAGTTGCGCGACGAGGACATCGGCCTGGGAGAGGAATTCACCATCGCGTACTTCCTCGAACAGGTCCCCAGCAAGGGCACAGGCTGTAAGGAAGATGTAGTATGGAATGGGAAACGAAATATAGGAATGGTTCCTGATTTTGCTTGCGTTAAGGACAGGCCTTTTAGGCGCGCGAGGGCCTGAGTATAGGACTCCAATCTTCAGCTCTCTCTATCTCTCTTTCGCTCACTGTCTCTCTCTCGTTCTCTCTCTATCACTCTCCCACACTCACTTGCATCGCTCTGGCATAAAGATCGTGCCAAGGCAAACTTCAGGCTTAGCTTAGGCTTAGCTTAGGCTAAGGCTTAGGCTTAGGCTTAGGCTTAGGCTTAGGCTTAGGCTTAGGCTTAGGCTTAGGCTTAGGCTTAGGCTTAGGCTTAGGCTTAGGCTTAGGCTTAGGCTTAGGCTTAGGCTTAGGTTTAGGTTTAGGCTTAGGCTTAGGCTTAGGCTTAGGTTTAGGTTTAGGCTTAGGCTTAGGCTTAGGTTTAGGTTTAGGTTTAGGCTTAGGCTTAGGCTTAGGCTTAGGCTTAGGCTTAGGCTTAGGCTTAGGCTTAGGCTTAGGCTTAGGCTTAGGCTTCGGCTTAGCTTAGGCTTAGCTTCGGATTAGCTTCCGCTTAGCTTAGGCTTAGCTTAGGCTGAGCTTAGGCCTCGCATCGGCTTCGGTTATGCTTGTGTTTATGACAATGTTCAAGCGGTAACTCAACAACAGATAAAGTTTATAGAATTGACTTACAGCAAGCAAATCCGAGGACCAGCACGGCCGTGCGCATCATCCCAAGCGTGTAATCCCCGTCGACCGTGGCGAGAATGAAAAGTCTCGGGCTACCAGGGGGGATAATGTGAAATGTGTAGCCACCGCGATCAGCAAGAAGATCGTGGTAGGCTGTGGCCCCCTCGGGCGGGAAAAACCAGGGAAAAACGATCCGGGGTGGTGTCAAGGCGACAAAAGATGGGGCGGCGGTTGACCCGGTTTTTCCCTTTCGACCCTACCATCCTCACTTTTTCTGATCTTGTCTCGCACTACCAGGGGAGATGCACTTGTATGTGAATTTCACTTTTTGTGGTGTAGGCCTTTTTTAAGGCTAGACTTGATGTGTTTTTCCAGGCCGGTAAGACGGAGACAACTTTATTTAAGAATTCGAATCCCGCAAAAAAGTGTAGGCAAAGAGAGTAACGGCCACATTGCAATGATATGTACACAGTTCACGGGTGTCTTGTGTTTTTGAGAGAGTGGAATCGAAGGGAATTACGGTAGTGGTGTGATGCGGAATGGAGCGGAATCGTCTTAGCCCTGCGCGTCGGCCATCTTGTTGAAGAAGCGTTGCAGGGTGACGTAGTTCTGGAAGAAGCATTTGGTCACGTTATTAGGTCATGGAAATTGAATATTAAATTAAATAAGTTATTAGGTCATGAAGATAAAATTAAACACTAACGTTTTTCAAGTCATGATATTTTAAAGGGAGCGTGACAGCAATATTTTGCTAAAATTCTAAAATTTTTCCTAATTTTTCTAAACTTCACCAAAATCCGATTTTAAAGGGATGGTGACAGCTAGTGTCGTCACGATTATCAAATATTAATTTTTCTTATTTTCAGTTTCATTCTTCGCCTAAAAGTCACTTTCATGGAGCCGGTCTACCCTGCAGAATAGTCTCTTTCCCGCGCAATTGGCCAATTTCCGGCAAACCGGCCTAGTCAAGCTAATTTTGCAACTCCTGCAGATCAAAGAATGGGCTCTACCAAAAAAGGTGTTTCGAACCGGATGCGTCAAGAAAGGCTTTAGCTAGTCCTAGGCATAAGCCTACACGTTGTTGCCTATAAACGTACCTTAGGGGTGACGGTGAAGCGGTGGCTGAGACCCTTCGGGATCACGATCAGGTCGCCCTTTTCGCATTGCACGCGGATCCACTCGTCCTCCTGAAAAGATTTGTCCTTTTTTACTATCACACTCCCTTTAACGAGGTGATGTCATGCTCAACCTGGTACTTTACAAACTCTCGGAAAATTAAGCTGAAACGCGCTGCCTCGAAGTTGAAACAATGCCGAAAAGCATCCCTAACCAGTCAGGCCCTGAAGTCCCCCGATTGCATCAAAACCACCACCAACCTCCGGCTCCACATCATAATAGCACGACCCGTCCATCACCAACACCACCGAGTCGTGGGACTTGGCGATCGGCTCGTAGAACTCCTCCAGCTGAATATCAAAAGTTCAGGAACACATTGCACGTCCTCACCTTGTCATTGAAGTCGGAGATGTCCTCCTTGATCGTGAGGAAATCCGAGGAGTTGACGTTGCGCTCAGACTTGACCATCGTCAGGCGCTTCTTCATCGCCATCGTGTCCTCGACATTCACCTGAAAAATCGGAGTTGAGCACGACTTTTCCCCTCGACTTACCTTGAAGCACTGGACTCCAGTCCTGCCCATCAACTGGTCGGGCGTCATCTTCTTCGGGGGGAACATGTGGTGCGGTAGCCGGCGGTCTCCGCAGGCAAACGGTTCCATATGCCAGATTTGCATTTTGTCACTGGAAAGTGAAAAGGTTGTAATTTAATTTGGAAAACGAAACGAGAAAAAGCGGAAAACAAGCTCAGGACACCTGAATCAAGACAAAAAACACCAGTGGTTACAGTCGTTTCGAGGAGCTGATTTAGTAGCTATTTCAGGTCTAAACTTGCATACAAAATATGTGAATTGATCGATACAGAACAGCAGATTCAAATTTGATTAATCCGCCTGATTACGGTAACGACGTGAAAAATCGAATTTTTTTATAAAATGCGTAAAACTTGTGAACAATCTAGATTTTTTGTAAATTTCGTAGAATTTACCGTAGAAGCCCGATTATAATTTTCTAGAAGTATTTTATATTAATACCTTAACCGCTACGGTATTTCTTAGGCTATCCGGTATATTAGTTATGGGACGAACCCCGTTGCTACAGGAGCGTAATATTGCGTACTTTTACACGCTACTGTAGCCGTAAAATGACGACACTTAAAAACTGACAGTATTTTGGTAATTTGGCACGTTATAAGACGTTTCTAAATGTCTTTTACCGCTAGTTCTACGGTAACTATGTATACTATTACATTGCCGAGTAGAAAAAAGTGAGGACCGCCTGGTCCAGTGTTTTTGAATCTGCTCTGGTCTGTTTTTCGGCACGCCCACAACCACCAAAAATTGAGCGCCGCCGATGCGCGATGCAACTGATGGGAAACGGGCGCCGGAAAGTTTGTTCGTGCGTGAAAGATGGCGAAATTGCGATAACAATTGTTTGGAGGATGGAGGGCGGGAGGGGGAGGGGGGGGATGGAATACGTAGGCCAGAGTCTGGACCCAACACAAGATCTCATCTCCAAAGGCACAACCCGACTACGAACACAACACCCCTACAATCAACAACTCTATAGAAAAAGGGAGCACCCGTCAACAACATTAGATACCGTCACAAAATCGTGCAAAGGAAGCAAGTTGTCGGAAATTTCGGGAGAGCGCTAACTATAGGAAAAACGTTTGCCTGTAGTGTTCTTTGTGGCGTGACGTAGATTCGGATCTGGTGGGGTGGGGCACGCTCTATTATTCTACAGTAATGCCGTATTGTTTCGGAAATCCTCAAAAGAGCTGTGCCTAGGGTCTACCAGGGAATGAATTTCCTATCAAAACAAGCTCCGACGATCAGTCGCGATTCTTAAAACCTGATCTACCTGTTCGAGCGGTGCTTTTCGATGTTATGAAGGGACCTGAACGTCAGCCATCGAAAAATTACGAGGCACGAAAAACGGTTCTCACCGGATAATCGAATTTTGCCTGGTTTATAGCTTCAAAAATTTCAGGCCTGTCAAAGATGGCGCATTTAACGGGCATCATCCGGGATCACGACGTGTAGACCTAGGAAAGGGTACCTAGCGCCGTGAAAGCTCTTTAAAAGTACTTATTACGATACTATACGGCAGCATTAGGACGTTTGGCCACTACGCAACGCGTTAAGCAAGGGATTGGGTGATGGAAGCGTGCTATAAAAATCTTGAAGGATCCCAGCAACCGCCCAGATAGATTTAAATTCCTTCAATTTCACAGTCGCGCCAGCAGGCGATTGACTAGGTGTAGAGAGCCCACGCAATCGTCTTAATAAGTATACATTAGTGAAATTATACTATTTCCTCGATTCTAGGTATTTTCAAAAGTCGCTCCTAGTTTTCGCAAGTTAAAACTTGCCAGCGTGGCAAGGTAATTGAATTACTCCGAAAAGCTCGGGTTAGATTCGGCAAAAGGCTAGCTAGCAACAGGGCAATCTTGAAAAATCAAGCATGATAAATTTCAAAAGATGTCGAAATTTCCTATCTTCTGATAGAGCCGACATTGCACTGTCGAGTGGGGAACACAGTGCCTTTTAGCCATTTGGTAATCTTATAAAGCCCCCGGTTTCAATCTATGTCCCACCCCCACCTTGTTGACTTGCCTGTCTCCATACCGGAAGCCATTAAAAATTGCACTGCATATTTTGTTTCGAATTTCGCGGCGGGCAAGAGTCTTCTCGGCCCTGTTGGTCGCACTCAAACACTTTACACGAAAACAATTGATCCGAGGAAGCAGGGATAGGGTCTGGGTATGCAATAAACGAGGCGAAAGTGTACCTCGATAGATTGGGCCCGGGGTGGGGATGAAAATTCGGAAAATCAAGAGATCAAGAGGTTGGTGGGATCAAAAGTTTAGCAGATCTGATTGAAAGGATCGTTCTGATGGTTTTCTAAGACGAAAAATCCATTTTTATTTCTTTTTCGAAACTGGATTGTTAGCATCTAGGGGTTATAGCGAAGAAAGCCAGTTTTTCTCCAGTAAGCACTTACAAAACTGCACATTTTTAGGCCAGTTTTTAGAAAAATACACAGTTTTTTAAATATAAAGCGCACGTAAAAATGATCAAAACTTTTTGATCTGAAACATTTTGTTTTTTGATGAAAAATTTATGAAAAAGGACTAAAAATTCGAATCCGCCAATTTTTAGAAGTCCCCAAATATTTTTTCATAACTTTGTATCTATAAGAAAATACAAACGCTCTAAAAATAAATTATATCTGATGAACAGGTGCATCGTATAGCAACAAAAACACAAAATTAGCTTTCCACGGTTAAACCCGCCCCCACGTACAGTCCAGTACCATAGGTAACGGGCAAACTAGCAGAGAACATTTGAGAAACACGCTAAAACGTCGATAAATACCAAACCATGCAAATACGGGGTGTCCCAAAAAACACGAACCATCTGGCATTTCGCCATGTTACACCCAATCGGTCCCAAATTTGGACCAGAGATGTATCAGACCCTAAATAACAACAATCCTGACTTTTAGCCCTGTTTTTATAGTAGTTCTCGAGTTATGGCAGAAACAAACTTTATTTTCCATTTTTCACAGGGTTTTCGTGGAATTAGACCCTCTAAACATTAAGTGAAAATGATCCGGTCGGCCTTCTTTACCTTAAGAAATTTTTTACAGGGTAAAGTTAATTAAATAAGCTTCGATTTAAGCGATTTTTACAACGCAAAATGACCCAAATTCTTAAGCGAAATTAAGGACTCGCAGTCGGAAGTCGATGCAAATCGATGCAAAGTCCAAAAAGATGCCGAAAAAACTGTTTAGAATAAGGAAAATTCAGTAATTTCGTGATAACTCGAGAGCCACGATAGCTACCGGGCTAAAAGTCAGGATTGTTGTTGTTTAGGGCCTGATACACCTCTGGTCCAAATTTTGGGCCGATTGAATGTAACACGGTGAAATGCCAGATGGTTCGTTTTCTTTGGGACACCCTGTATAAGATTTTTCTACAAGGTCAAAAACGTGCAAATTTTTGAGAGATCCACGTCACCCTGAGCTCTGATCTTTAAAGAATCTCAGCAGCGCCAGGCTGTACAGAGCCCGTATTCCCCAAATTGAGACAATCAGATATCCGGGCAAAACTGTGCCCGGGGATCGTATTTTCTAGCCCGATATCCTGTCTTGCCCTCATCCTCCTCTTGCCAAGCTCAGAAATCAGTTGCCATCCACTACGCGGAGGACTGCAAATTGGAATGGAGTGGAATCCGAAGGGCGATGGTGAAAACGGGTTGTGCCAACGTCCAAATCAGCACCACATAGCCACAACCAAACATAGCCCCCTTCGTTTTCCAATCTTCATCCCCTTATTTTCGCCCATCTTCTCTTGTCAACAGATTAGCAAGGGTTGTTAAACATAACAGGTTAACATTGTTAAAGGGACTCTGAAATCAGGAATCGAGTTCTTGGCTAAACGGTTTGGATCGGGTCATCGAATTTTGGTAAATGTCGCTATATACTGTTCGCGAAATGGTAAACAGATGGTTTGCTTCAAAGTTCTTTAACCCCTTTTCAACGCAAACGCGTTACGCTACGCGAGCCTTTGGGAAGGCTTCAATTAAGGCTTTCGAATTGAAACAAAAGTACTGACCAAGCCAGATTCCAGCTTAATATAAGTTGAGCTTATTTTGAAGCGTTTTTCTAGAGCTATCGAAGATTAAGGTAGATTTGGGTGCAGAAACAAACCATAGAATAGTCAGGGTTTGTGGCCAAAATAGTGACAACATACAACCGAGAAAGACGCATTTCTGCTCTACGGCCGCCATAGGCGAATCAGTTGTTCATAGGTGCCATGCGGAACTCCTCTCTATTCGTACGCACTTAAGGGGATCTCGGCAATTAGTGGGTGAGTGGATTTTGCGAGGCTGGGGGTAATATGTATGCAAATTTTGGGGTCGACTATGTTGTCGGGCAGTGCCGAGTGGTAAATACAAAACTACGGATAGATTTTTGGACTTTTTGTGTGCGTAATAGGCTGATCAAAGGAAAAGTACGGGAAAACATAATACGCAAAAGTCAAAAAACGGTACAACACAGGAGAGGAGCGAATGGCGTTTTTGGAAAAACCGAAGCAAAAACTACAGAATTTTGGTAAACGTGTGCCGGGATTTTTTTAAGAAAAACGTCAAAGGTGTCTTTGGAAGTTGCCTTAACAGGGGCGCTGAAAAACTTAAAAATTATTAAGAAGCTCTAAAAACCTCAACAGATTCTTGAATCTGTCTGCAAATGCGAAAACCTGAGCGAGCTCGGGCTCCTTATATTCCGCGGCGTTCCTATATCCGCCGATAGTGGCTATTGTAGGAGCGGACCCGGATCACTGCACACCATCCCCCAGATCGGCCACCCTCACCACCAGCAAAAACATGGTTGTTGACCCGGGGTGGGGTGGTGAGAATCCGTTCCCCCTCGGGCCGATCATCCTCACCGTAAGCCCTGGGCCGAGCGTTTTTAGTAGCCGCCCGGAATCGGCGGCCGCCATTATACCGGTGTCTCCCCCCTGACACCCCATATCAAATTCCGCACGCCCCTGGTTATTAGCGGGGGATTTTCGACTGGGGGACGGAGTGGCCGATGAATAGACAGATTTTGCGAAGGCAAAACGATCAACAACAGGCTGGCTATAGAATTCGGTAAGTACCAGGAACTGGGGGATACGCATAAAAATGCGTCGTATAGAGATTTCTAAAGGTTTCTATAGGATTGTCGCTGTAAGTTGTTTAGAACGAGAGAGAGAGAGAGATAGAGAGAGAGGGGGAGAGAGTGAGAGAGAGAGACAGACAGAGAGCTATAAAGGAGGAGAGAGAGAGGAAGAAAAGATCTGTTTTTATGACAATATGGTGGTGGATTCAAAGATTTCCTTCGGTATAAGCCATTTATGCGGTCCAGATACGCGTTGTAGCGTATCGGAATCTGCTTTAAAGGGGCCAGGAAGCGCGAAAAGCGAACCTTTTTGCGCTTAGGTATCGATAGCTACGTTACACACCTCATGACGTTTGCAGCATTTACGTTTGATTCGGGTCCCTGAGATGTATTCAAAGAAAAGCTGCAGTTATTTTGGTGCAGGGCGCAGTCGTCAAGACCTAGTTCAAGCGTTCATGGTCCCTTTAAAACTACGGTATGCACCTTGAGCGGCATCTTGGCAAAAAAGCTGGTGACATTATAACGCATGCCAAATACGAGTGGTACGATAATGAAGATTCCAAAGCAGCAAAGCCCTAAGTCGACGACCGTTAAAAAGCGACACTCTGACAAAAACACGATATCTTAAGTCCAATCGGTTGTTGCCAGGAAAAGATGACCGGTTGGTATTGAACCCCCGGGGGGACCGGCTTTAGGTATTGAGGGGAGCAGCAACAGGGCTGAGGAGGGCGAAAAGTGAACGGCAATTAGAAAGGGATATTCTACACCGGGTGGTGTGGACAGGCGGGCCGGTTCTGGCCAGGAGCATGTGGCGGGGAGGGACACCGAAGAGCCCCCGAGAATGACCTAGATCTGAATCTCGCACTCATTCTCCCTCTCAACCGGGCCCTATGAGGCAAATTAGCCTGAAAACGAGCCGGCGAGCTGTCTTTGAAGAAGGGAGATGAGGATCAAAATCCGATTTTCACTTTGCAGGTGGGGTCAAAAGAAAGGGGGAGATTGGGGCGATTAGATTTGAGCATGAAAAGTGAAGGCTATAGTGTTTTTAGGGTATTGGATGGACGTGCATAACAGGGCAAGTTTTTTGGCGTAGACGCAAGGCGAAGCTTGAACTTCTTGAAGACGTCGTATTCCACCGCGCTGAAGTGGAAGCAGCAAAAATTCTAGCGACGAAGGTTTCGAGTTTTCCATAACTACAGTTCAGGTTACAAATTCATCTAAAAACTTTTTAAAGCCGTACAAATTTGGAATTTTGGTCGAAAAAGTCGAAAAAATCTATATATTTTTGCCTCTTTAAGAAAAACTATCAGGTTGGTAGATAAGTCCTGTCACAATTCTTTGAAAGCACTCTAGAAAGCCGCAGACACGTCGGATTTTCACTTTCGATACATGATTTGATAGAGACGCGCTACTTGGGCAAAACCCGATTTGGTCCCCAAAGTATGTCGCCGTCGAGTTACAGCTCCGGAAAGTTTTTGATAAAATCTTGAGAAAGCTATTTAGTAATGAAAATAGTAATGAAAAAGTATATTTAGTAAAGCTAGTGCTATCTCTACATAGAGTCATTTGAATACGATACCATTAACGCCAATCGATAGCTCTCGAGGAGTAGAAATCGATTGATGTTGAGATCATCAAAATCGGAGACCGTATGGCCGAGATACGGGCCCTTAAAATTTGGTCCATTTCTTAGAACTTTTTCTGAATTCCCATACATTTAGACAAAACCTTCTCCGGGCGCTCAAAAAGCAACTGGCAAAATTTGTCACAAATGCGCAAAATGTATAGGATTTCGGGAAAAGTTCTAAGAAATCAACCAAATTTCAAGGACCCGTATCTCGGCCATCCGGTGTCCAATTTTGATGATCTCAACATCTATCGATATCTACTCCCCGAGAGCTATCGATTGGTGTTAAAGGTATCTCATGCAAATTTCTCTATGCAGAGATAACTTGCAAAAACACTTTTTCAAGATTTTATGAAAAACTTCCCGGTGCTGTAACTCGGCTTCCTGTAACTTTTCGGGCTCGTGCGGCAGCTCCAGTTACCACCAAGATTCCATTACCAAGATGTATCAAATCAGGTATCAAACGTTAAAATCGGCCATGTCTGCGGCTATATAGAGAGAATTAAAAAAATTGTGACAGGACTTATCTACCAACCTGATAGCAAAGTTTCTGAGTTTAAAAACACAAAAATACGCTTATGAACACTATTTTTACCAGAAAAATTAAATCTTAATATGTCCAGTGGGATTATCCCCCCCGATAATGCGAAAGCACAGCGAATCGATATGCAAAAGATCAATCGAGACATCATGACAGTTATGTCAAAGCATCAAGGTATGGACGTTTAACATTTTTTCTAGGATTGTCCAGATAAACAAAAATTCTAAAATCGCTTTCAAGGGACGGCGAACCACCAGAATCCACCAGAATCTACCCCCTCGTGCGACTGGGTTTCGACAGCCAGCGTCAAAAGGGGCTTGAGTGAAGCTCGTGAGCTTCTTGTTGAGGCGTTGGCTTAGGCTTGGGTCTGGGATTTGGCTTTGATGTAGGCATAAGCTGGAATCAAGGTCTGCTTGAGTTAATCCATGCATACTTATACCACTACGTACTTAATGTAGGCGTAAGCGTAGATGTTTTGTACCTCAAAAAACCATCAGAATAACCAGCTGGAGGCAGCGAAAATGCCACCACGCTCCCTCCACCCCAGGGCTATAGTTGCTGACATCAAATCTCTCCTGTTGGCTCCACCCCAAAAAAGAGAGCGAAGCCAGATGAGACCGGTTTCAGGCTAGGGGCGCCATCGGCCCCTATTCGCGCGGATCAGTGGCAGACGCCCAAAAAGGGGGAGCGGGCGGCTTGTTTATCTTGGAAATCAGGTGATGCTCGGAGTTTGCGCTTCACTTTGAGGCTGAGGTTTCGCCTCGACGGTTGTTGACCTGAAAAATACATAGCTGGGGGAGTTTCAAGGTATTGGAAGCTAGTCCAGACAGCGGGAGATATTTGCCAGTCGTTTTAGGTTTATTTGAATTAGCCATCTCTTGTTTTTTTGGCTGACCTTTTCGATGTATTCCCACCGCTTTAAATACGCTTCGGAAAGTTCAAGCGCTTTCCAAACAAAAATGCAGAATATCTCTTATTCATTCCACCCCACTCCTCAGTACATCCCCTCCCTGAACGACAAACAGGTGCAATTGAAAGACCCTCCTGCCCGGCCAAACCCTCCCATCCCCCCACCGGGGCCCATTTGTGGCTTCGCTAATGAGAAGACGTGCTCACCACCCTGGTCGGTGCGAAAGCACAGGACCCGCCGCGTCCCGAGTATTGCCCCGTTGTGTTTGGCCGGAGAAGGGGGGAGAAGCGGCCGAGCTGGCTGGGCCCCTATAATCCCGAGGGGGCCCAGGGGCCAGGGGCCCGCCTCCCCGGGCTTGGCCTTCTTCTCGTCGGGGCCCCGCAGAAGAAATACTGGCCGCCATCTTTTGCACGCTGGAGAGGCTTTAGGGGGGTTCGGGATGTACCGGACCAAGCCGCTGCTGGCACCGCCCAGGCCTAAATTGCCGCTGGTGCTGTATGTGATTTCGATTGTAAGTTTGCGCTACGATTTCTGATTTTTCAGAAGAGATTGTTTCTTTTTGAGAATTTTGTTTTTACCAGTCTTCCTTTTTTGGAAATGAAGGCTTTCATTAATGCGTGTCAAGAATCGGTATCTGTGCTCCTTGTCGCTTCTTTTCGCTCTCTCTCTCTCTCTCTCTCTCTCTCTCTCTCTCTCTCTCTCTCTCTGTCTCTCTCTCACTCTCTCTCTTTCTCTCCCTCTCTCTCTTTCTCTCTCTGTCTCTGTCTCTCTCTCTCTCTCTCTCTCTCTCTCTCTCTCCTTCTCTCCTTCTCTCTCCTTTCCTAATTCATTTCACACCCGGTTTTTCACATTGTCAGCCTACTTTTTCCTGCTCGCACTTTTTGTGTACTACCCAATCAGCCCCAAAAATTTATGCTCTTGTCTCGCTCTCCCCACACCATAATTACCAGGGGGATCGCCGAAGCAAAAATAGTTCAGCCGAGCGAAAGAACATGCTAGCAGGGCAAGTAAACTTTTTGAGCTGTCAAAATGCAGTAGTCTTCAAATCGGCAGAAAGCTTCCATTTTTCATGTTTTCGCTAGCATCGCTAAAGACTGCCACAAAGATCCAGGCAGCTCGTATTTTTCAGTTTAATTCGACGCCTAGGGAAAATTCTCAGGGGAATTTTGTGACGACACCGCAGGCTACAGCGATTGGGTATGCGATTTTTAGGACAAAATACGGTTTAGAAAAATTAGAAATGGTTTTTTGGAGCTAGTTTTAAGGGTACTAGAGATATTCTAGGAATTTTTCCTGAATAGACAAAATTTTGAACCATCCATAGAATCCAATAAGAAGCTCTTTCAACCGAATGACCCTCAAAAATGGCCCAGTTCCACGCTAATACCGATGACGCACTACTAATCCATCATTTGGCTGACAGCAGCTCAGGCCAACGAGATGAGAAATCATTAATGCGTGATGTTCTAGGAAAATCGACCTCTCTCGCTCGCTCGCTCTCTCACTCTTCCCGATCTTCAGCTAGAGGCTAAAAATCGCACCCAACAACACAGAACAACGAAAGAATTCCTAAATTCGGGCCCGACTTGGGCTGCTGAATTATTTACGAAAGCTTTTGGCGCCGTGTTGTTGCTGGCAATTTGCCAAAAGGGTTTTTAAAGTGGTCGAAAACTGAGCAGCCGAAGTTTCTGTATTATATGCCTTTAATCGATTTAAAACCACGAGCCTAGAACTGACAATGATGACTGATGTGCCCCAGTTTTTGCCCCAACTACTTTTATGTATATAGCAGATGTGGAGATTAAGAATTAATGCAGTAACGTGCCGGGAAATGAACTTATGGAGAAACGGGTTGATTTCCCACGCGTGTGAGTCAGCTAGGAAAAGATATTCTCGAGGTTCTTGGAATTTTTGTCTCTCTCACTTCTCTCTCTCTCTCTCTCTCTCTCTCTCTCTGTCTCTCACTCTCTATCTCTCTCTCTATCTGCTTAGAATTTTCGTATTGTCAAAACTCCAAATCCCACCAAACGATGTAAACGGTAAAAATGAATAATTTTGGCACTGAACCCAGGCTGATTTTGAACGACTCTTTTCAACCAAATCCCACCCCAATTCTCGCTATAAATCATCCAGCAGCTAGGTTGAGCCATTCGACAGCTTTTCCCAACCCAACCCGAATGCCTCTCCCCAGCCAAAGCTATAGAAAATGTGCCTCCAGGCTGGGGTGGGGCACACGTGGAAATTGGGTCTTTTGAGTCGAACAATGGCCCCGGGCTGAACTCTTGACGCGCTGCACGTTTTGTTGGCTAAAGACCAGGCTGGAAGGGGTTGAAAAATCTGGATTTGAAGGGGATCGGAAAGCAAAAATCTACCTTTCCGTACACTGGGTGTCGACAGCTGCCGACCGCACTAAATTAAGCGTGAAATCGGTCACGATTCTTGTCAAACTCGCGCTGGCTGCGTAATTCGGTGCTCCGCGTTGATGTCGAGACCTAGTAGAAGCGCGGGGTTTAACGCATTAAAAAGCCAATTTAAAGGGACCTGGAAGTGAACTAGCTCTAGAAATCCAACCTGTAATCGGCTGGATTGGAACGGGTCAGACCTGATTTTTAATTTTTTTTAAGTCAGCTAATTAGAATCCTAAAGTTCCGGCTTCTTTTTTCACACCCTCAAAGCCAATTTATTCCCTAGCCTTAAGCTTCAACAAGAATAAACAATTCCAAGGCCCCGACCCTGCCCCCTAAAAAGCTCATGCATTTCTGCTAGTATGCGGAGAGAGTCATATCCGGAAAACAATTGCGCCCCACCAGCTTTACACTTTTGAGGGCTGGAAGTTCCAGATGTTCAGCAACTTTTGTGAGCTAGTTGAACTGCCCAGAATGCCGACAAGCCAAAAAGCCCATATTAAGAATGCCGACAAGCGCAATTTTCGAAACTAGTAAAATGGCGACGGGCAAAATGTCGATAGCGAAATTACATCAACAAACTGTCGGCTTCGAATTGCTGACACCGAAAATACCGACAAATTCGCATACCGATGATCATAATACCGAATCTGAAATCGAAAAATCGAGAAGCAAAAAGCCTACACACCAATCCTTAAGATTCAAGTTTCCTATGATTTCGGACATCCGAAGTTCGGTCGTCGGCATTTTGAATGTAGCAATTTTGTGCGGAAATTTTTGAAGCGATGTTTTGGCTTTCGGCATTTTTTGATGTCCGTTTACCTTTCCACATTACCTTTCTGTTTGTCGACATTTCGGGTGCTGAAATACTCGCTTTGTCGGCATTATGGCCAAAAATCTACTTCCAGACCGAAATACCAAAAGCTTTCGGTCCGTCTGCTCCCCTCTGGAATGTCTAATAAAATCTGCCGGAAAAGGGGGTATAGGCCAGCCACAACGCCACACTACGCAATTAGCCCATGGCTCCGGGAAGGGGGGCTATTTCTGAGGAATAGCTGGTTGGGCACGGGCCAGCTTTTACTTTTTGCTGTGTACTTGTAGCTGATGTTGGGAGCCTAGCAGATTCCGGACTAACATTTTTAGGCAAAAAAAATGGAATGTAATAAAAATGACAGGAATTTGCGAGTTTCAAAAATCAATAAAAATCTATATCAAAATTCCAGGTGCTGTCCTGCCTGCTCTTCTACTGGTCTGGGCTTTACTGCCGTTGGAACTCGTGCACCGATCGCGTCAGCGAGGCCTGGAAGAGCAAGCAATATGCACAGGTACGCAATTTGCTCAGCATAAGGCAGGCGATCTAGCAGAGATCTTTGGGGAAAATTGAAATCCAGGGGTATCCAGGCCAGGTCTTTTTTGTCTAGCATCGATTTCTCGAGAGAATGGGGTAGCTAGCAAAGATTCTTGAGGAAGATGAGCATCAGCCGCTTTTTGAGAGTTCGGCGACCAATTTAAATCGACAGTTGCATCTCAATTCAATCATTTTATCCAAAAGGGGCCAGGCGTTGCGTGTCACGTGGCGTAGTCGAACATCGAACTACGTAAGCTTCCAAAAGACCCAGTTAGTAGCTGTCTGAATGCCGCTCGCCTATTTTTTGTAGCTTTCTGTACCTTAATAAGCCTGCCACAATTGAAAACTTATAGATTTATGCCTTCTAGGCTCCTTTAATCACGTGTTTTTCATAGAATACTTCACCCTGGTGTTTTTTACTTCCCTAAGGCGTTCACTCCAATCCAGGCGTTCTTCCGTGACGGCGGATTCCCTCGGAATATCCCCAGTGTCGCCCGGCTGATCCGTCTTTCATGCCTAGTCATTCCCTGCCCCGGATTGAGGGGCTTGGGCAATTAAAGAAGAGCGGAGGGGATCCACTATAGAGAAGAGACAGATATTGTATACACACCCAAACAATACCCACCCAATGAGTATCTCGGGCTGTCAAGAATTAGAAGCGAGAGAGAGAGAGAGAGAGAGAGAGAGAGAGAGAGAGACAAGGGGTCGTCACGACAACCGGAAGGAACCGCTCAAACAACAATCAACGAGCCGAAAGGGGGGAGCACAAAATAGCATTCAACGGGGAGATCTCTCGACTTCGAATTTGGATGAGCTTTAAAGGGGGCTAAAATATCGAGAATCACCCCTGACAGCAACTAGGTCTAGACAGTGAGGTGTGGGCAACCTATTATTGTAACTGTCGTGACCCAGTAGGTTTGAAAGGGTCGATTCAGACACTTTTCTTTACAGAATTGAAAGAATTCGGGCGTTGCAGCGAATTTAAGTTATTAGAATTTAATAAAAAGCCGTGTTTTAGTACTTCCCAGCCTGCGTAGCGCCGCTGATCGGGCTCTTCTCGGTCTTCTGGCTGTTGACAAGCCTTGTCTACCCAAATACACCGTGTCATCAGACCTACAATTGCATGGTGCGTGTAAGAGCGTATTTTGTATCTTTGCGTACTAGAGAGAGAAGAAAAAGAGAGAGAGAGAGGGAGAGAGAGAGAGAGAGAGCAAGTTTGTTCTTTCCAGGAAATGCCAACCTCCGTCTTTTGTTCTCTACTCGCTGGAGTGTCAGCCGTCATCGAAATCCACTACTCGATTGAATACGCAGAGCCGAGCTGGAGTGAGCGCTGGAGCTGGATTACGGTATGTATTTCTTTATTTTCTAACTTTTAGCCTCCAAATTTAGGCAGACGCGATCGCCCTCGGTGGAGTTCATGCCGTTTTGGCCTTTGCACTACAATAATTTTCAATTTTTATCGTAAATCTATGAAAACCTATGAGAAATTACGCTTTTCCGCTCCTCCGGTGCTTCGCGGGACGATCTCGCTGCCTTTTTTGATCTCCGAAACCCCAGAATACGGGTCGTTTTGTATCCGTCTTTTTAAGAGATTTCTCTGCAATTTGAAGTGACGGGTTTTGGCCTTGAAAAGAGCTTTTGATTTGCTGATTTATGTGTTTTATATTTTAATAAATTATTAAAATACTATAAATTATGATTAAAGTATCCATATTACCGTAAGACATATCAAAAGCCCTCAAATACCCCTAGCATGATGAAACATACAGACAGTGTCATAACCCCCAAACGCGGCTCAGAAAATTCCTCAAAAAAAACTCAACAATACCGCGCAAATACACACCCACTTTTGCGTATTCTTGGGCCTTTTCTTAGGGCCCACATAGAAATACAGTCATCGCGGTAAAATGGACACCAAAAAAGGTGTGAGGGAGGTGGGGGTGGTGAAATGAAACCTTTATGGAGTCGCGGAATTCAGATCTTGCTATCTAACTACAAAATTGTCATAGCTTTTTCATGTTTCTAACCCGAAAAATCGACATCAAACATTTATAAACCAATTCCAAAATACCTATTCTTACAGCGAGTATGATTCATGGCAACCGCCGCATATTCCACCCCGGTTAGCCGCCCTGATTCAGCAACGGGGTGGGGGTCGCTTCGAGAATTGCGCTATTTTGACCCTGGCACCAATTGGCGCGCCGATAGGTACCCTTTGAATAGAAAACAGGTACCGTTTTCCGGTATAGTATACCATTTTGGCTGCACTGGGCAGGCTAGCAGGGATTATTAAGGAACTTATTGGTTTAGACCGTGCTTGTTTCTAAATTTCGCTAAAGTCGGCGACTACGCGCCGTTCCAAACCACCTACGGCGTCGGCGTCATTTTTACCTTTTTTAAAGGGATTGGGCGCCGCGAATTAGCTCCTGATTTACTGTGCCGCGACAGCTACAAGAGGCTCCAAACGACGTCTCGTCATTTGGATTTAAATGTAGCCCTACGTCTAGGGGATCGAAACGAAGAACCGTGCGCTTGCTAAATTGTTAAAGAAACTGCCAAGCGCGTGAATCGAGCCGGTTTTCGCGACTCCGTATCGGCAGCTACGCGGCAGTACGAGATACGCGTAACAAAACAAGGTATTTTGTAGCAATGCGTAGCTTGGTCTTAGAAGCACGTAGAAATACCGTAATACTCTTTTTGATGAGATTTCGCTAGTACTAGATCCAAATTCAAGCCACTATATAGGATGACACACTTCCAACGGGTTTACTTCTCAAATCCGAACCTCACTAGCGGGGATCACGGGGGGATAACTCGAACACTTCCGGCCATCCCCCGGCCAGGGGTTCCACCTGAATTGGTCGGTATGCCATGGTGGGGCGGTGGACCATAAAGCACCCCCAATCCACGGAGAGCGGGAAGGGTCGAACTGTGACGACACGGACAGTTATTCCCCCCACCATAATCATCCCCCCAATTCCCTCACTAGCCCCCCTGCAATTCACTGACCAAATCTGGGCTACCAACCCATATAGCCTCATCAATTTTCGGATCCGGAATTTGGGGCCAGTGGTGTAACGCCCACCAAGGCCACAACTTCCAAATCAGGCATTTATGCGGGTGTTCCGCCACTGTACGGGTTACGTTCGTACGGTACTGTACTCTATTCAAAATAACTTGCATTGTTATTCATATTAGAGGTATAATAATTATCTACTGATGATCTACTTCGGTTAATCTACTTTTATCCAAAACCTAGCGTGTTTTTGACGTTTTTCCGCGACTTTCCGGGTAACGGTAGTTCGTTAGCTTACTCGTAGACTTTCTAAAAGGCCTCCCCAGAGCTATCGTGTCGTATTCCGCTCTTTCCGATATTACGTTATTGTAAGGTACACTCACTAGGGAATGTTTTGGGGCGGACATCGGACCCAGCTATGTGAGTATGTGCATCTTGTAGAGCTCGACGAGACGAATCGTTTGATGTAACTTTTAGCTGCGGATACCTTTTTTTTAATAAAGTTACAGCGGGCTAAAGTTGTTCGCGACACCTTCATAAGCCCTCCCCACACCCCAACCGCCGTGCTCTGGTAGTCTAGCGGGTTAGTGGTCGGCGTCCGGGGATGGTAACGAGGGTACGGATCCGCTCACGATTTTTATTTTTTGCTTTTTGGTCGAAAGCTTCGATTTTGCATCCCGAAGGATTACATTAACTTTTTTTTTTCATTTTTATCTCCAGCACCCGCACCAAAGAAGTTGGTGACAGTATTCATTGGTGTTTTGGAGTTTTACCCGCACCAAGATCTCGCCATGACCAAGCCATGACTATAGCTCGAAAAATCCTCTGTGTTCCGCTTATGTTTATTCAATGGGGGATATGATTCGAAAAATGAAAAAAAGTTAATGTAATCCTTCGGGATGCAAAATAGAAGCTTTCGACCAAAAAGCAAAAAATAAAAATCGTGAGCGGATCCGTACCCTCGTTACCATCCCCGGACGCCGACCACTAACCCGCTAGACTACCAGAGCACGGCGGTTGGGGTGTGGGGAGGGCTTATGAAGGTGTCGCGAACAACTTTAACTGGCTGTAACTTTATTAAAAAAAGGTATCCGCAGCTAAAAGTTACATCAAACGATTCGTCTCGTCGAGCTCTACAAGATGCACATACTCACATAGCTGGGTCCGAGGTCCGCCCGAAAACATTCCCTAGTCAGGATTTTAACGTAGTTCGTTATTGCTCATCATTACATTACGTTACGGTACGCTACAGCGTTACCCAAACGTGGTTACGTTTCTGCACGCTATTCCGTTAATATGCCAGCTGCTACCGTAGGCAAATACTCCAGCGTAAGGTTCCGTTACACCACTATGTTTGTGATTCCGCCACTGTACGTCGCTTGAAAAATTAGCAAGAAGGTTCACAACATTTTTTGTAGCTTTACTCCATTACTCAACTTAAAAGGATTTTGTACTATAACTATGATCATTTTCGCGACTCGACCAAGCTGGATTACGGCTTTTTGTCCACTGGATAAAGCATTTTATTTGCCTTTTCTAGGCTTTGCTTTAACCCCCCATCAAAGTTTACAAATTCTAGCTCTTAACTTCCAGCAACGAGCTTGTGAAAGTATCTCGAAGCCCCGAGCGCGATTAGCCCCAACTTTCCCATAGAGCCAGGCCGGAACTCCCGAACGGTTTGTGACTCGAAATGGGGGAGAGTGGATCTCCCGTTTTGGGGTGCATAAAGGCCCCGCGTTGGCTCCAATTATCTCTCACTTCCCCCCTACTCTACTCTCTAACGGAACCGTTTTGACCATAGCCCATTTTATGGGTTCTCTATTGTCACTTTCGCCCTGGATTTTGGGGGGATAGAAATGTATCGGATTTCCGCCATAATTTTGGAGACAGTATGCTTATATATAGGCTTTGAGATTCTCATGCTCGCGTATAGATTCAGGCTTGGGTTTAAGCTTGAATTTAGATTAAAGATTATTAGTATTTGTCTGTATTTCAGTACTTTTTATTTTCAAGACAGAAAACCAAACCTCCTGAACCATTTCAAAAAGTTTGAACCATCCTCAATCTCCAGCTCCTCCTCCAAACTAGGGCTCTCGATTTGTCGGGAGGCAAAAGACAAAACGGAGGCTACGGTCACAAAAAGTGCGCGCCGGAATGGACAGATTGCGGGGATCTGTCATCTTCTTCTGGGGTCACCACGTTAGTCAGAAGGATTTCCCTCTCGCCGTTTGGTTTTTCCAGGATTTTTCCTTGAAATTAATTGTAAGAGTAAGGCTGGGGTAACAGTCATTTTTGCTTTATACAATACCGAAATTTCACGCCCCCTATCTTGCCTCAGCCATTTCGAAAAATCCACGGTAAACTCCCTGGAAATTATGCCAGTTTGCTATTTTTGTCTAGATTTTGGCGGGTACTAATTCTTCAAGCTGTTATGCTGAACAAATCCACAGCAACCACCTGGCAATTGTCATTTTCATATATTTTTAAGACCGAGATTACCGTCTTTTACAATGAGGCCGAAATCTGTTTTTGTCCCGAAATCCGAAATCCTGCTGTTTTTCTAACATTGGGTTTACGAAAGCTACTGTAGCATTACTCGTAGTAACTCGCCATTTTTGAGAAATTCAGAACTTTAACTTCACGCCCTCACCTATCTCAATTCAATTATTAATCCCTTCATCAATTAGACATTTGGCGCGTGCCGGGGTCATCTCGCCAGGGAGACGATTTTATTTGCTTACCGACTTTTTCCGACGCACGCGAGGCGCCAAACTGTTTTTGCTCAAAGTTTCCCTATTCATCTTCTTTTTGGTCTGATGGACGAAATTTCTTAGTTTCGCATTTTCCACTTCTGTCCCTTTTCGTGCGTGCCGATTACGGTAATCCGGGTGCAGCAACTGCTCGAGAAGGGGGTGGTTTGAAACTGCAAATATTTGCTGGGTCACACCCCGGAGCGAGGCCCGGGCGTCGAAGCATGTTCCAACCAATTTTTTCGCTATGGATTTTTAGTTTTTATGATATTATGCAAATTTTGAAATTTCAGAAAGTGCGCGGTAGGAATTGCTCTAAACGTTCAGCAAATTTTTCAAAATTTTGGAGGTCTGATCTTACCGATTTTACACATGAAATCGACTAGATTTCGGCGCCAATTTAAGCGAATTCCAGCACAGCTTTTAAAATATGCGCTTTTTAGCCGGTATACTGTATCCCAGATTTCGATATGCAAATTTCTCTCCATTCCCGTAGCCCATCAACCCGAGCCCCTAAAAATCGAACGCCGCGTGATTTTTGTGAAAAGACTCCCTCCCTAGGGGGAGGTTTGGATTGTTAAATGGTGGACAATGGACAGTAGCCATTTCCCCCATGGACTGCCCCTATCGTACAGTGCGTATTGTGCCGGAATCGGTTCATCAATTGTCGGGGTTTTGCCTGATTTTTGGCAAGAGGGCTCCAAAATTCCAAAAGGCTGCAGCTTCAAAGGCCCCTTAAAGGCACTAGAACGTGTGAGAATCGACCCCTCCCCGCGCTAGACGTCGACAAATACAAAAAGCGCAAAACACATTTAATCTCGAGTAAATATTTCTTCTCTTTCACGCGTCATTCGATTTTCAGGCTTCTAATCCCCCAAAGGATGGTATGGGCAGATCCTGTCGCTTCAACACCCCTTTAATAACTATTTTTTTTATTACTTAACCAATTCGTACAGTCCTAAATGGCACCCTCATTGGGGTGTTGCAGAGAGAGCGGGGTGGGCTGGGCTGAGTCATGTTTTTCGGCATAATTCGCCCTCAAAGGGGTTGCCCATCCGCGAATGGTGAACCATTTTGCAACTGATTCATTTTATTCAGGGGTGCGGGAGGGAAATAATCGTTTGGGCTTAGCTTAGGCTTAGCCTAGGCTTAGGTGTTGCTTAGGCTCAGCTAGGCTTAGCTTAGGCTTAGCTTAGGCTTAGCTTAGGCTTAAGTGTTGCTTAGGCTCAGCTAGGCTTAGATTAGGATTAGCTTAAGCTAGTCTAGGACTGGCGCTATTCTCGAACAACTATCAGGTTTTTAAAAAGACCATTTGGTTAGGGTATAATAGCTATCTCACTTATTAAATATCTCCGACCAGCCATCTGGTAGATCCGTTCCGTTCCGCTCCTCCTTCCGAATTTCCGGTGGTCGACTTGCAAGTCCGCGGGGATAAACAAAAGACGTTCCTCGGGGTCGGCCAGGGCTCGGATTACGCAATTTCCTTCGACAAGCCCGAATTAATAAGCCGATCCTAATGACTTGGCAAGGCAATTTGGTCGATTTTAGCTTGAATTTTCAGGGCTGCTTAGCCCCTTAAAAGCTTTAAAATAACCTTTGACCTTTAGTTATGTTAATCTTGGATATTTCCAGAAATATTTTGCTTTTTCCTATATTCTAATGCACTTTGGAATTATTTTGATCGACCTAACCTCGAATTTTGAAGATTCCCGATTCTTTACGAAATTGAATAAATAATTTATTCATGATTTAAGCTCATTTACGCAACTTTAGAAAGACCTATTTTACTTATTAAATTTTTTACTTTTTATCTGGCTGGAATGGTTTTGTCATTCCCGGTATCCATCAAAATCTGGTCCTCATTACGCGATGGTGGGCCACAGGGACGTAGCGTAAGGTGGGCCCCCTGGGCCCGGGGCCCCCCCCGAAATCGGCCGGGGCCCGAAAATTTCATAAGGGGGGACCCTTATGATTTTTATTTTCCCAAAAATTTTTCTGCTTGCGGCGCTATTTTTACACGTTTTTACTGCTATTTGTAGAGCTATGTAGACTTGTTTTCCAAAATTTTTCGCCTGCGGCGCTGATTTTTCGTTAATTTTTTAAGTTTTCGGAAAAAATTTTTCGGGGCCCCCCCCGAAATTTTTTTCTGGCTACGCCCCTGGTGGGCCACCAGCACCCAACCCGGGTCGGTAGGTCTAGAAATACGTCCGGTGAGTGTGGCCCGGGGTACATGCAATGACAAACAAAAAAAGGTGGCGGTACCCTGGCCAGCCGGGCGAGAGATTGGGCGAGATGGAGAGGGTGCAGACAGCCGGATAGAATCGGCTAACGGGTCGACACATCCCATCCGGTCATCCCCCTTTTATGAGTACCGCACAGGATACCCGTAGAATCTGGCACCACCACGAGATGCCAGATTTTGCTAATTGGCAGCTGTCTAAGATTTTCTGTACTGCAAAAAGCTTTAAAATCCTCTCAAAAACGACGCTTTACACCTCCGGTTCTTGGTGTGAAGCGTGAAGCTGAAAATGCCTGACTATTGCTGGCTTTTAACTTTATCAAAGATATTTCTTTTGGATCTGAATCTTTTTAAAGGGACTGGCAAGCAACACATATGCATTTTGGTCGCTATAGCTGGCGAGACGTAAAGCTCGCATCCGCCGCATATGGCGTAATGCGCTACGATCCGTGAAGTCGCCCAAGCCACTTTCCCTTTGAACTCCCTTAAAGGTGTTCGGAAGCCCTAAAATCGACCCCTACGTCAGCTAGATCTAGACATCTACCGAGTTCATAACATCACTTAGACTCGAAGGGGATATATTTACCGCGAGATTCGAGGCCCCTTGAATGCCTTCAAAATATTCTTAATTTGTGCATAAGACGCTCAGCGCTTTTTCCAAGCTTTGATCGAAAAATTACCCTGTATTACTCTATATAGCGGAAACCAGATTTTTTAGATACTTTTTGATGTTTCAATTCTAATCCCACGACCAAAGCATTGTTCCTGCTGGCGGCACTGTTTTGTCGCAATTTGCATAAGCCTCGGGGGTGGGGGGAGAAGCGAGAGGCCAAACACGCTGTCTTTTGAGGTGGCTCGAGAGCTTTTCGCACATCCGGACGATTCGAGAGGCCAAAATTTTCAGGACATTTCCGTGGTAATAATTTTCCAGTTAAGTTACGCGGTTTTTCGGGCAATTTTAAACGATTAAATTGATTAGTAAATCTTTCTATGCTCAATCGGCTATCCTCCATCTTTCTCACCTTACTGTGCCTTACTTACCCTTTTCCGCCAAGATACCTCATGACAGTGCGGTAAGACAATGAATAATCTGCCTCCCAGTCACGAATGCCACCTCCCTAAAAAGTGACCCTCCCCCGCAAAAAGCGCTCGTGTCGCGCGCAGTATTTAGCAAGGAAATGGCGCTGTCAGAGGTAGAGGTTATGGTTGTCCTCCATCTCTAATTCCGTTCGACTACTATATATCAGCCGGAGGGATGGGCGGCAAAAAGTGTGCCTCCCACTCCTTCTTTGCTCCTTCGCATTGGAGACCGGGATTTCGGGGGCGCAGCTCAGCCGATACGGTGGATCATTTTTGAGGGGTAGCCGGGGGGCGCTGACCTTGACGGTGATGGTGATGATGTTCTCGCACCTATTGTTTTGCCCTCAATTTCCTATTTCCCTCATTAAAGGCGATGGCAAATCAAAGCTGCGCGAAAAAGCCTCAAAAATCTCGAAAATTATCGAAAACACTTTTGTACTTTCGAATTTTAGAATTTAGAATTTTCTTTTACGTTATTTCCAAGAGCACAATGATGATTTTCAAATTTTTTTGTGTTGGGCTTTTGAAATGAAATGATTTTGTAAAGGGGCGGCAATATAAATTTTTGAAAAAACCTGGTTCAGGGGGCAACGGAAAAATTTTTTTATTACTTATCGTTATTTCTATTAATTTTAGACATTGGTAATTTCAATATACAGACATTTATGAAGAATGTAAGAATCAAGAAAAAAATATTTTTCAAGTCCAAATTTCGAAATTTTTAATTTTTGGATCCTGGCCAAAAACCGCCTGAACGAAGTACTGGCTTCATGATCCCTTTAAAGCCTTCCAAATCCTTCTCATCAAAGTTTACCCCCAAATTGGCCCTATAGTTCTAGCCTGAGGGCACATTCCCAGGATTGAGCCTTGTCTATAGCCCGTCTCCGCCCTGTCCTTCGATGCCCATTTATGCCTCACATGTTGAAGAGGGTCCCGCCCCGGGGGAATATGGAGACTGTAGAAGGGGGGAGATTGCATGGCTAAACACTTCACCCTCCTCTTCTCTTCATAGTCCATGAGGGGGCACCCTTTAGACAACGGTTCGCGCCTACCATGGCCGGTACCGCGTAAATTGTTTGATTATCCCCCGGCTCAGCACCCCCACAACGCCCAACCATTGCATAATTCGGCTGTTGCTTCAGCGCTAAAAATAGTAATATTCTTAAATCCTTTTAAAATTAATGTTTTCAATTTTACAAGTGTTTGAACTTCCAGAGCTAAAATTAGTTTTAAGTTCTAAAAGTTTTTTTTAAGATTTTTTGGCATTTTTTTCAGGGTTTTTCAAACAACCCTTAAAAATATGTTCCCAATTCGTTTTTAATCCATTTTTAACGAATTATCGTCTTTTCCGGCCATTTAAAAAAATTATCCTCACGATGATAAGCTTATCTCCTACCTGATTCATCCAGAGACGTTACATCCTCGAATCTTACAATTTTTTCTGCAACAATTTGATGTTTTTCACTGATTTTTCTCGATTCCAGAATGCGCCCACTGTGGCGACGGACGCCGCATATTCTACTGCTCTTCTTCTGGCTCCAATTCCCCAAAACAGAAGCCCGATTTCGACGCCATTCACGAGTATTCGACGAACTCCCACACTGCTCGTCGCAAAACGTGATGGAAGGCGAGGTGCGTAATTATCCAGATATCTCATCAACCGAGATTCAGATTCGATCCTACGACGACTTCAAGGATCGAACGAAAATTCTGAGCGCTACGCAGCTCCAAATGACACTCCGGGATACGGCGTGTCTGACGATGAAGGTAAGGTTTGGAGGTTTGTTGACTTGTGGAAACCCCTTAATAAGGGCATTTTACGTATTTTATGAGGGCTATTATTTTCCTATAGTCAACTTGAAACTAAAGCGGTGCCCTGCCTTTTATGAAAAAATTCAGGCCTCGAACCACTCGATGCGAACGATCCTACATTCGATCGAATTCCTACGGCTAGAGCAGCACCATCCTGTCATTGCCACCTACAAGTACGTTGGGTTCCTATGGTCGTACCACTGCTCTTTTTTCAGTTTCGGGATCCCTAAAGTGCGGGCCTCTTGCGTGTGCGATTGCCCCGGCGCCGACACACACTGTGTTCTCGACGAATATAACTACAAGTAAGGAAATTTCATGAGAGAGAGCGCGATCGAGAGAGTGCGAGAGGGTTCGATTCCTGCGCTTCCCAGCCCCATGAAACCCATTTTCCAGAAACTGTACTTCCGGAGCGGTCTGCTACCGTACCTATCATCCACATCAAAATGGAATTGGTTGCCTCGGAAACAAAAACTCGGAAGTTTGCTGCAAAGTCAGCATCGATCCGTATATGGTATGTAACCGGAAACGTTGTGAATATGATTTATTACTTAGGATTGGCAATACACGGCCGTTCAAATCGGGCAGCCAGATACCATACTCGTCCTGAGGTACCGGATCTTCGAGCAGAGCCGAGGAGGGAGATGGAAAAAGGCGGAGGATGGGGAGAATGACAAGACGATTAGGGTAAGAGCTAGAGAGAGAGAAAGAGATAGAGATAGAGAGAATGAGAGAGAATGAGAAAGAGAGACGTCTCATGCTCTGCTTTTTCCAGGTATCCATGAACAAAGGTGCTGAACGTATCGAACTCTCCCGCCACCTTGTCGAAATTTCGGTAGCTGGCAGCCGACCGGCTCGCGAAGTCGTCCCCGGAGTGTATTTTGTCAGAGATGGTAAGCTCGGATCTTATAAAAAATTGGTTACCCGGTTTCTAGGAACCGACGAACTCCGTGGTGGTGTTGCCCTGAATCGAGTAGATGAATCAACGCTCGACAAGCTGGGGTGGTTCCGGAGAGAGGAGTCCGGAAAATGGGATATCCGGAAGGGGACGATGCTGCTCAAGGAGGCGCTGGTGGGTGGAAGCAATTCTTGCGCGTTTTTTCAATGGGCGGAAGTCCTGCCAGTTCAGTTCAGTTCGGTTGACGGTTGATACACCTACCTATCGTGCATTTCAATTTAAGCAAATTCTATTTTTGCAGCACCTCAACATCCAGGACTGCAAGCAGCAAAACTACACCTGGTCCCTCAACGCCGAGCAGTACGTCGACGCGTCGAAGAACAGGGGATATTATTTGGGTATGGTAGAAAATAATGTTCTGTTATCTTCTAACTTCTCACCTAAAACGTTTCTTTAAATATCTTTATCGCCTTATTAAAACTATTTTAGGCAATCCCCTGACCGACGACCCTTGGATCAATACGGCAACTTACAGCGGAAGGGTCGTACGTGTTGATCATGCTGAAGGGACGGCAGTTACGGTAAGTCATCCACTTATCAGAATCTCCGCTATAACTGTACTGTAGCTAAAAACTCATCTGAAATTCAGATGACCCTAGCGACGAGCCAGAAGCCGTCTGTACTTCGGCATCCCTCACAATTTCTATCGTTTGACGGAATGATCAAGCTGGATCGGGACAGCAATCGATATTTGAATCTTACTTTCCAGGTATGTCAAGGAATATTGCCTACTTTTTATTTAAAAAACATCAAGTGTATACATTTCTAGGAAGCCAAAGGGACGATGATTGGGAAGATCTTTCGACTCGAGGGTGAACGGGATGAGGAGATGACGTTTTCCGTTCAAACCGATTCCACAATGCTCCGGGATCGTGTGTTTATCATTACGGTAGGTGATTAGACGCGCTTGGGATTGCCTTTAAAAGCCTGTACCTTTTCGACACTCAGATTTCCAATAAGCCAGCTTTGCATCTTCAGGTCCCTTCCGAAATCGATGATCGGCGCTGGGTATGCCTACACCCGGCTGGTGATGCCAATGGAAAACAGTGCAAGTGGCTTGAGTAAGTGAAAATACACAAATTTTTGGCCTAGGAGAGTAAAAAGAATCGTTGATCAACTTCGTTTAGATACAACGCCACGGCTCCCGCACGCTATAATGTGCCCCACCCATGGCAATCGGCACAGGGGGACTGTCGTGGGTGTAATGAACGAAGTATCGAAGCTGTTTGGGCTGCGATGGACCCGAGGGCATGGTTTGATGGGATCAACTCAAGCACTGAATTGTTTACCATGTTGTTGGAAGGTGAGGAGAAGATGAAAAAGGCTAATCATATTGATAACGATTTTAAGAACTTCGAAGGTTCTGAAGACTAAAAATAAAAATTTATTAAACTGATGGGCAAGAACCGCTATGGATTTTGCCGGCTATTGATCTTCCATAAATGCTGGCAAGGGAGGGAGATCGAGGAGAAAGAGAGAGAGAGAGAGAGAGAGAGAGAGAGAGAGAGAGAGAGAGAGAGAGCAAGGGAGCGAGGGAGCGAGAGCGCGAGGGAGCGAAAGAGACAAGCGAGAGAAAGCGGAAAATCTAGAGCCCTTTAGTGACAGCGAATGCTAAATAAACGGGATTCCGGACTCCATCAATATTTTCAGTCGGAATTGGCATCGCCCTGGTCATCGCCCTGATCTTCCTCGTGACGAAGGTGTTGTGCCCGCTCTGCCGTTGCATGCTCTTCATCGCCAAACCCTCGAAAATCGGCTCAAAATGATCAATTTTATCGTTATTTATGTCCTCTAGTCCCTCGATACTTTCACAGTTTGATTCGGGTCCCGCTCATCCCAAATTTGCCTTTTTCTTTAAACTTTCAGTTTTCCATTGCTCCACTGCCTCTTGCCAAGCCTTAAGAATTTGAATATCTAAGTTTTAACCATTTTACCATTGGCAAAAATTTGGAAAATGACGAACAATTAGCCGAGACTATTCAGACATTTTTTTAGTCATTAAAATCAGCTAAAATTTCGGTATTCAAATCATCGCTGATTTTTTTAATTTTTGTACTTACGATGCTACTTCCTTTCCTACTTACTTTCTACTTAAAAATTAGCCAAGCTGAATTCTCACTTTGTCAATTTTCATATTTGGTGCTTTTATACCTACTGCCTGCCGCCTACTTACCGTGATATTCCAAAAAGACCCGCCACTCGCTCAGGAACATGACTTTGAATTTTCGAGATTTCCATCTACTTACGCCCTATTTATTGTTGGTATGCAAATCACGCATGATTATGCAAATTTTGCTGTCTCTCCGGTGTGCATTTACACGACGCCAAGTATTTGGATTTGTATAAATTGATTTGCTGATTGGTTTTGATTATAAATTCGGAAGAGAGTGAGAGAGAGAGATACAGAGAGAGAGAGAGAGAGAGAGAGAGAGAGAGAATGAGCTAGATAAAACATTCCAAACCCCACAGAAATGTGCCGGCCAAGTAGAAGAAGCTGTTGCTCGGCTATTCATAGCATTTTCAGAGCACCCACTCCTCAGCCCCTTCTTCAGACGCATTCCGCATCACCCGAAATTCCACATTCATCGATCCAAACCCCCCAAATAAGATTCTAAACCCTGAAAAAATCACTTTCAAAAAACCTATCAAACCAAATGATCCCCTCACGGCATTTTGCAAAGCCATTTATCCCCCCTCTCGGGCGCCTAGAACGCCATTTATGGGAAACGGGACGCCCGGAAAAATGGGTGGGTTCCATTTTTTGGCTTCTGCACTTTCAGAAAAAGCGCAGGCAAGGTTTATACGCAATTTTTAAAGATTGCTGATAGCAATTGGCTTTTAGAATGGCCATTTTCAGGCCCGAACAAAGTTTCATCATGTTTTTTAATCGCCATGTACTTATACTGTTTTTTCTGCTTACGTTTAGGGTTTTAGAGCCGGGTTGATATGGTGCATGCCGGAAGTTCCCATTCCCAAGCTCAGCTCGACGGGCTTCTTGACCACACGAAAACGCGCTTTTTTTCTGGCTAGCCCGGCCGCACCAAAAAATCAGACTACCCCGGCTGCCCGGGCCATTGTATGAAAGACAAAACAACCCTGGGGGGTCATCCCCTCCCCTAGCTGGGAAGAAATATGAATAGTCGGGTTGACCTTTTGATCCCGCACCTGTCAGCCATCCAGTATGTGGCTGTAATTTTGTTTATTTGCGAGATTGTTGTTTTTATTATTACTCAATCCTCTATTTTTAAAGGAAACTTTCTATATCGAACCACGCCTAGATTTTGACAGCACGTAGCACTCCAAAAACACTTAATCACGCTTGGGCTGAACTTACTGTAATAAATCAAGAATAGCTGAAAATTAGTGTTAGTTGCATGTTATTAAATGCCCTAGGAACGCTCGAATCTACCCTCTTTCTGCGCCTAGGTCTCGACAACTAAGTATGGCGTCAAAACACGATCCCTCCAATTTTGTGGGAAGTTATTCTAACAGCTCGGACATACCTTAAATTTTTGTTTTATACGGGCTATGAAAGCCCTGAATTTTCCCCTTTCGTCGATTAAGCCTTGACACCTATGTACGCCCAGCCCCAAAAAACGCTAGAAAAAAAAAACAAAAATAGCCGGTCTGCATTCGTGCTTTGCGGTAATGCATAGCTGTTTTTGCCAGACCTCCCGCTTGCCAATCCCTTTAAAAGTTTTGATCAGAATTTTGGTGTTTCGATCCCTAAAAATCCCCCATTTTCCCTTACCCCTCCTCGTTACCCGCCCCCAGAGGCCATGCGATGGAAATCGGATCCTTTGTTTGTCGACACGACATCGAATTTGCTGAAGCCCCGAGGAGAAGCCAGGGGGCCATATTATTTTTTTACGGGCGTAACTGAATTCGCCCATTTTTTTCCGGGTGTCGAACGATACTAAAAGTGTTGGCTGCATGCCCATGGACCGATGGCTTTGTTGTTGTTTGGCCGCCCGGGCGTTAGTCATAACAAATTCGGGGGCTCGACCCCCCGAATCCTAAATTAATTTTCGACCACCGGATTTGCCTGTATGGGCGTGATTTTGCGGTATTGTATAATACACATAGTAGAGCTGTCTTCGACGCTAATTTTCCCATAATTTTCTAGAATTTTACGACTGATTTATTACGTACAAAAACGTGTTTTACAAAATTTTTTAAAGAATCGGATTGACCGGAAAGGGAAAACCTTGCGTTTAGGTTTTATCTAAGTCCTTTAAGGATTTAATTTTTGCTTTTTATCGAGATTTAATGTAATAATAATCGTCGTTAGTGATAATATAAAACAATGACCCTTTAACAAATTGGATACACCGCCTAGCGTTCTATTATGCAAATTTATCAAATTCCCCACGATTTCTCAAGAAAATCGAATTATCAATAAACCAAGCCCTACCCCCGCCCATCGGCAGTTTAGTATCGAGCGGCCTGCGAGACGCGTGCGAGTCAAAAAGCCACAAAAAAGCGGGAGGTCCGAAATTCGACGCGCCCCCCTCCTCCCACCACCCAGGATTCCGTGATTCCATTCTTCGGGCTTCTCCTCCCGCTTCTCCTCCTGCTGCTCCTCCTCGCGTCCTTTCTCCTCCCCATTCACCCCGAATTCCAAGCATCCGCCCGTCGGCTTTCCCTTTTTTCCTCCCTTCAGCACTTCAAAAAAAAAAGCCGCCGCACGCTAGGGGGAGGTCCGTTTTTGGGTTTTCTTTTAGGCTCTGGCTGCTACTTCAATAACTCGCGATTCTTGATTTCTTAACTTCTTTAAAACCTGAAATTATGATGTTTTCCGGCGCCAGGAACGTTCCAAGAAAAGTTTTAAAAGATTTCCCGGCTTTAAAGGGCCTTAAGGCGATGTTGCCAGTTCCGCGCGGGACCGGTCATGATGTCAAAAACCATTTCTTAACCTTGAATTTTTTTCGGATATGACTTTACTGGATTTCTCAACTTGCCGGTCCCTTGACAATGTTATATATTGTCATTTTTTATACCGGCCTCTAAAAACCTACAAAATCGGCATCCCGGCCCCTTTAAAACCCTAAATTTTGGGCCCGAAACAGGACCACAAATTCCAGCCGGGACCCCCAGTAGCAGCGTAACCCTAAAGCCCCCCGTTTTACGCGCAACTAAATCCCCCAACTAACGCACCTCGCCACAACCCGTCGGTGGTGCTGACCGACAGCAGATGGAGGGCCCAATACAAACCCCCGGAAAAGGGCGCATTTTAATGGTCCGGAAAAACGGCTTACACCCTGCGTTTCACCCCCGGAAAAGCCATAGAACGATGGGGGTTGCGCTCCGGCTGGATACACAAAACGACCGTTTCCGGTTGGAGGTTTATTTTTAATTGATTTATAATCTTTAACTTATGTTCTGGTGAGAGAGCGAGAGCGAGAGGGAGAGAAAGGGAAAGAGAGAGATACAGAGACAGAGAGATAGCGAGCGGGACAGAGACAGAGAGAGAGACATAGACAGAAAGAGATAGCGAACGAGAGAGAGAGAGAGAGAGACAGAGAGAGATAGAGAGAGAGAGAGAGAGAGAGAGAGCGCGAGAAAGATCGCCGTTCCCTTGAGGCTAGTTGAGATATGTTGACCCATCGGTCCGTTCCATCGTCGCGTGCAGTTCCGTCCGTAGAAATTTATCTCTGACCCCTCCTCGATCCCATAATCTTTTCTCCTTTCCATTCCATTCCTTATCACCGTCCCCGTCCCCTTTCAATCCCTTTCTTCCCCCTACGGGACCCCCCAAGAGGACTGTTCAGCTAGGGGCTTGAAGCCTGTTTCGATCGATACGACGGTCCGTTTCGTCTTATCTCACTGTCCATAACTCTAGGCTTTTCATGGAAAAGCTGGAAACGGAGGGCTAGTTCCTGATTAGGATTTTGTTGACTATGGATTTGTTATGGATTTTGCTGCGATCGTGGCACACAGGTTTTCGCATCGGGTGCGTGTCGCATGCACGTTAAAATCCATGGAGCTATCAAAACTTAGACTCGTTATTTAAGCCTTGCGTGTCCCTTTAAAGTTCGGAACCAGCTCGCCCTGAATTCTCGCTTTCTTCGAAATTGGCTTAATCTCGACTTGCGGAAATTCCTGTAGTGGCTGCTGGGCTCGGCAGTGTGGAGTGGATGGATTTGTTTGTCTGTCTGTCCATCTTTCCTCTGCATACAAACACACAAAAAGCCGTCGAGGGTTTTTGGCAACACCGGACCCGTTGCATGCACTTCTCGGCTTTTGGGCTTCGGTGTTTACCCCCCGATCCACCACTTGTTTTTGGGTGTTTATCGATTTGCGCCTGATCCAAATTTTCCGACTTCATTTCCATTTTTACCTCGAAAAATGTCTTGTTTTAAAGGGGCTAGAACAATTCAGAATTATGCTCTCCCGTGCATAGGTCTCAACTTTTGCTACTTGCTATGTTAATGCAGTAAATGGATTTCAGATCCGTTTTTTATCGAAATCCATAATTTCCTGTGGGTTTCCGTTCACAAACCTTCCCCTCACATTTTTCCCAGCGCCCATTCACGCGCGCGTTTATCGTTATTGTGCCGACAGTCCGGGCCGACGACGGTCTGCCGGTGGGAACGGCTTTTAAGCGCGGCTTTCAGCTGGTTTTTGTCGGTTTTTCATGGTTATCCCAAGGCTAGGGTCTTTAAAAACCTACAACGCTTTAGAAGGCTATAAAAGTAATCTGGAAAAGCGGTTACAACAAAAATACACTAATTTCTATAATTTCTAAGATTTATTTGAGTCTCAGAAACTTATTTACGTTTTTGATTTTATGTAGTGTAAGCTGCAAACGATTTGTTTTATGAAATTCCCCTTGTTTATACCCCCGCACGCTTTTTGCATTTTTTTTATCTCCAGCCCGGCTCGTTTTTATGCCTCTACAGCCGTCTTTTCTGCCTTTTGCATACAGGCAAAAAGAGGGGCGGGGGATGGTGACGGTTTCTGAAATGTCCTGCTCGGCCATCTCTCTCTCTCTCTTTCTTTCTCTCTCTCTCCCTCGTCATGTTTGTCTGTTTGTCTGTCTGTCTTTGATGTTTTCTTTCCTTCCCACCCACAGGCCCTTCCACCCCGCCTTCTCGATGGCCCCTCCCCCTTTTCCAGCCCCTTTTGCATCGATCCGAATTCCGCAACATTCCTAATCACGGCACTACTTTTTAAAAATAGTGTTATTTTGATTTTAGGAAACTAGCTAACGAGCCAAAACCGATAAGTTTTAACTCTTAGAAAATTATATTTTCTTGATTTCTTGGGTTTTCTCGATTTTTTTGAACCATGTATTTAATACGGGATAAATGGCAAATGGTAAACAATCGGAAATTCAAATTTGTTTGGGTTATTAAGCTTGAAATAGCCTATAAATTGATTTTCCGACAACTTGTATTTTGCGCAATTATCCAAATTTTTTGCTGCCGAAATTGTCGTATTTACACTAGAGTAAATTCAACATTTTATATCTTGCCAGAAACCCCTTAAAACAACTCCAAAATCCCCAAATCACCATCATCATCGCTATCCACAGTTTCAATCTCCACTCCCTCTCATCAAATCGTGTTCCCTCACTTGCCCAGCTGCCCTCCGCCCATTCCATTCGACTCGTCCCCTCCAACCCCCCAAAAACTGTTGTGACACCTCGGCGCGAACGGATCTGCTTTGCCCTCTCTTTTTTTTTCTCCTGGTGTCTCTTTTTATCTGTTCGTCCCCATGCAGCCGAAAAGCCAGCAAAAAAGGTTCGCTCAATCCTTCACCGGGTGGAGCCGATCGACTGCTGTGCAAACTGTCGCATTTCGGCCATTTTTTAGGGTCAATTGATTCGGAAAATTTGTCAGGAACCAAGTCATTTTATCGATTTTATGTTATTTATTTGATGGTTTATTTATTTTATGATTCATATTTATACAATTAGGTTTAGGCTTAGGCTTAGGTAAGGCTTAAGCTTCATTAACACAAAATATAATGATTTTGTCTGTTTATGCAGGACTCATCGAGCAACTAACTTTTTTGGGGGCGTGATAATCATCTGTTTACACTTTGCCCACCTCCATAAAATTGTGACTCACAGAAATTCAGACTTGTTTCCCCCGAAAAAGCAAAACCTCCGGACTACTAAAGGCAGCTCATCAAAAGTCAGCATCACTCGTTTGCGGGCTTGGTTTTTGGCTTCTTCTTCTTCTTCTTTGGTTCTCAGACCAGGTTTCCAGAGCTTATTGGAGAATCAAGGTGATTTCCTCAACAGCTATAATGTTTCTTTCTTCTTGTTAATACAAAGAGGCAGAACGGCTGCGATTCTTGCGGAAATTTAGTGATTTTCTAATTAATAATGGTCTTAGCTTGCTCTTGTCTCATGTGAAAAGGCAAGCTAGCTAAAGATCTTTCTAGAATTCCATCGATTTCCTGAGCATTTTCCATATTTGCTTTTCTTTACGTTTCTGCTATTTTGAGCCCTACTGGTTCCTTTATCCTAAAAACGCGGTCTCTGTCCCTAAATCCCCCCTCAAACCGCTCATTTTGGCTGGCAACTCGGCGTTCCCGGCGATAAGCATCTTGACGCCTCGTCAGCCGTTTTTTGCGCGTTGCCATTTTCATGGGGAGATAAACATCTCCGCCCTGGCCCAAACCAACCCTGCCACACCGCGTAAATGTTTCCATTCTCTCTATCTCTATCTCTCTCTCTCTCTCTCTCTCTCTCTCTCTCGCCCTCCTCAAGTTAAACAACTCCGTTTAGATCCCATCTACACCCACCGTTTTTGCGTACTTTGACGCCCGTCGCTATCGTTTACTCGGCGGCTATTTAAACGGACCGTGCCAGAGGACGTGACCAGAAAATTCAAAGCCTGCTGACAGCATACGACAAAATTTAGCCTATACAGGGTTCTTCACATTTTTATGGCACCGCCCAAGCAGGCACAGGTATGCCCTCCAGCCATATTATGCAAATACACTCGATTCCAGATCCTGCGCCTGGTCGTCGTCGGCGGCGGCGGGGTCGGGAAGAGCGCGCTGACGATACAGTTTATACAGGTATGAAAAGATTTTTTTATTATAAGCTGATCAGTAATTTATTTTCTAGTATTTTACGCACCGACTGATGTAATACTGATTATGACCTGTTAAATTAAATTAGAACGATGCCAGAAAAATTCCACAATTCTCAGCTTGAAATCAACCATTTGCTGCTGTAGTTTCTTTTAAAGGGGCAAGGAATGTATAACTGACTCAATGCCTTGCCCGTCCCGTTTAACCGACGACTTCAAGCAGTTCAACAAATGCCAAAGTGCACGCCTTCTCATCCCCCGATCCACCAATTATACAGTTGGCTGCGCGCCAGGTTGGCTGGGATAGAAAAGGAAATGCTGATTGCAAGCGAAGGACTAGAGGGCTAGGAGGGGGTCAACGGAATTGGGGTTGCGGACAGCGCGTTCCGATCCAATACTATGGAATGTGATATGCGCGACAGGGGAATTGGGACAAATTGGGGATGTTTCGCCTTTTGGAGCTCGATTCATCCTGTCTTTCAGCAAAAATAACTCGGATTTTTGGGTTACAACTCGCGTTTGGTGTTCAAAAACTGTCCGTTACATAATGGTGGTCACCAAAGAGCAGCAGTGGGAGAGAGAGCGAGAGGGGGAGAGAGAGAAAGAGAACAACTATTCCGCCACGCTCCGCCGGTTAACAACCCCATTAGTCGCAGATTATCAGCGTAGATTATCGCGCCGCGCGCTGGGGCATCGAGTCGTCCGTTCGCTGGGCGATTAAAGGGTTATGAAAGGCAAAAAGCGTTTAAAATTGTCGAAAAGAGATGATAGATAGAGAGAGTGAGAGTTAGTTAGAGTACAGATAGAGAGAGTGAGAAAGAAAAAGAGAGACAACTGGAGAGAGAGAGTGTGTGAGAGTGAGAGAGTTAGAGAGAGACAGATAGAGCGAGTGTGAGAGAGAAAAGAGAGACAGTTAGAGTGAGAGAGAGAGAGACGGCAAAAGTGTCTTTTCAGCAATACTTCGTGACAGACTACGACCCTACAATCGAAGACTCCTACACAAAACAGTGCTTCGTCGATGATGACATTGTCAAGTTGGAAGGTAGCTTATAAATACTAAAGAATGCATAGGACTTATGCTCAGGCTTGATTTTTTTTGGTTGCTTTATAAAGCCGTAAGAACCTTACGCAAATTTTTGCGACTCCACGTCTCGACTTGGCGCTAGGGTGCTCTCAATGGCCCCCGGCCGGAAACATTTGGTCCAAAGATTTACGGCCACCCCCTTCGTGACGCAACCATTGTCCACATCAAAGCCCAGATCCCCCATAGCCAATACAACAGAACGCGCAATGGGGGTATCCGGGGGATGGGTATAAAGTAGTGTAATGGAGTCGAAATGGTGCCGGGGGCCAAGGACGCGAATTTTAGGGGTCTGAGTCTGAGACGAGGTTGAAAATCTATAAAAAATGCTGGGAAAACAAAAAAAGAAACAAAAAAATCGTTTTAGTGCTTGACACGGCGGGACAGGAGGAATTTTCAACGATGCGGGAGCAGTACCTCCGGACCGGAAACGGATTTTTGATAGTTTTCGCGGTGACCGACAGGAATAGGTGGGTCGATATATAAGCTATTTGAAAGGATGATTATAGTAGCATAATATGTTTTCCGGGTAAAACTTGAAAATTCGTACTTGCTCGCCCTCGCTTTCTGTCTCTAGCTCCGATTTTTCCTAAAAAGCCGCTGCTAGCTTGCCCACTCTCGCTCTCTCTCGTACCTGATCTCTCTCACTCTCTGTCTGTCTCTTCTCTCTCTCTCTTTGTCTCTGCCTCTCTCTCTCTCTCTCTCTCTCTCTCTCTCTCTCTCTGTTACTCTCTCTCTGTCTCTCTCTCTCTGTCTCTCTGAGTGTCTCTATCTCACTGCCTCTCTCTCGCATTTACGGTTTAGCATGTCCTCTCTTACTTTCCTTTTACCTCTTTATTTGGTGTACGCTGCCATGATTCCATCTCGACACCCAAGCCCCGTATTATTTTCTATACCTCCGTTATGCCATTCCACCGTCTCAGTATCCACATACATTATGTGATGCTAGTGGTAGTGTAGTGTTCACCTGGTTGGGTCCACCCCCTGAGGTTGAGGGGGGTTGAGGCGCTTATTATCACCACGGTAAACATGGCCCTTCAGCCTTTTGTCCGGCGCGTTTTGTTTGCCCTCCTTTCGCCCCGGGACCCTGAGGGCGAGGGATGGAAAGGGGAATCCAACGGAATCTCAGGCAGGAGAAGGGGCTTGGAAGATTTGTAGGAACTGCCGTTAGGAGTAAAGGTACTGAAAAGGCAAAATTTTGATGGTATAAAACAGTCCAGCTCTCTATCCCACTTCCTGACGGTCTCCCTCATCCTCTCTCTCCTTCTCTGTCGCTCTCTCTCTCTCTTTCTCTCTCTCTATTTGTCTCTCTCCCTCCCTCTCTCTCTCTCTGACTCCTGACACGCTCCCTTGAATCTCCGCCCCAAAACCCTTGATAAATGTCTCCATTCTCGCCCATTAATTTGCACCGGGCTCAACCCTATTATAATCCCGGCTCGCTTCTCCTATCCCCCAAGATGAAACATGAGCATTTCAACCTCCCCGTCCGCTGCATAAATCAGTAGCCAGCTGAGCCCCGGGGCCCACGTATACGGAACTGTACTCAATACGGCTGCGCCCACCCTCCTCGACACCTCCACCCGCATAATAATGACCCCCGGGGGCTCAATTTCCAAATGAGCACAGCGTGACCCCGAGAGAGAGAGAGAGAGAGAGAGAGAGATAGAGAGAGAGAGCGAGAGAGAAATCGACAGACAAACAGTAGGTCCTTATGTGGTGGGTATGGCAAATTAATCACGACAACCGGAGGGGAGAGCCGAAATTTGGGTAGAAAATTCGGGAAAAATCGAAAACTCCTAAAAAATGTCTACTAGAGGATGGAAAATGAACAACTTGACAATACGTAAAACTATTAACAATTAAATCAAAATGCAAATTTCGAATTTTTCAGCTTCGAAGAGGTGCGCCGGTTGCACAAGATGATCACCCGGATAAAGGACCGGGATGAGTTCCCGGTGGTGCTGATCGGCAACAAGGCTGATTTGGAGCACGAGCGACACGTGAGTATTTTCCTCAAGGAGTTTGCTAGTCTGCCCCAGAAATATTTTCATGACCTGCTACCTTGCGTGCACGATTTTGTATGATCGTTGCCCGGTTCTTGGTCCGATTTTCCTTAAGAATCTCCGCTAGTTTGCCCCCACCTGGCCTGACAGCCCAAAGAATCTTTGCTAGCTTGCCATCCGAGCCACCCCTATATATCTGCGGTTTTCCTAAAGACCCTCTGCTAGTTTGCCCCACCTTACCAGAAACGGTAATGAGCTTTCCAGCTTGCTGGTAATGGAAGGATGTCCCAAATAACCTCTGCTAGTTTGCCTTTAGGATAAGTTTTATCATCCGGACTTTGATCCAAAAAGATCTCTGCTAGCTTCCCAGCCCGTTTTGCTTTTTCTCTTTTGCCACAGCGACCTCTGACCAAGCTCCTAATCTCACCCCAATCCGCCCACTTTTTGCCACAGAACGTCAGCACCTCAACACTTTTTTGCGTGGGGTAGATGGAAAGGCCAATGTGCCCCCGAGGCAGCGTACGTCCAAACCATCCATCATAAGGTTCCTCCTCCTCCTCTTCTTTTTCTCCCTCACGATAGGCGGCCCTTTTGGCACCTCGTGGTTAAAAGCAGAAAGAAGAGGGGAGCACGAGATTTTCTCGGTTGAGATTAACGAGCCGAAGCTAGGGGGAGTGGGAAAGACCCAGAAGTTTGAACTGACACTCAAAAACTGGGGGGGTTTTTTTAGGGTGGCTTAAAATAGGGAGGTCTTAAAAAAGGGGAGAAGGAAGGAAAGGCGCTGACTAAACTTTAAAGGGATGGAAAGCCCACAATGGGCCTCCAATCTCCTCGATGATCACCGCTGGTTTGCTTGGATCTTTTACGACTTCCTGCCACACTTCCTTTAAAAACCGACCCAGCTGTCCTTCTCCTTCTTTGCCACGGGCCATTGGGCATCGGAGTGAGTGAGTAGAGCGGGGTAGTTTTATGTCTGTGCTGCTGCTTCGTGTTTTTATGGGACCTCGTCTCTCACTGTCTCTCTCTCTTTCTCTCTCTCTCTCTCTCTCTCTCTCTCTCTTCCTGTAGTGACCCTCATCTGGGGACTCGTTTGTTGGAGGGAATGAGCTGCCCTCGGGGCTATCTATCCATCCTTTCCACTCACTTGCCCGGAAATGCCTAAAGACTGAGAATGGGGACCAAGTCGAAAGTTTGTGGGGAAAAGCAAGGCTTGGATTTGCCGAGGTTGAAATCGTGAGCAAATTAGCAGAGATCATTAGGGAGATTCTGGGTTGGTACCAATCTCTGGATGGTGCTGTGGCAAGCTAGCAGAGATCGTCGGAGAATTCGGAAGTGACTTAGCGTAGATGCTTGCTTAAAAGTGGGGGAGCGTGGCAGTGACCCCTTTGGAAAATATAGAAAACTAGCACGGATTCCTGAGGAAATCCGGCTTTCTGATTTTTTGAAGGCCCTGCCCTTTCATCGGCTGGGCAAGCTAGCAGAAAAGTTATTTTGTTTGGTGGTAAAGATGACGTTTTTCCATAGTTTTTTATGTACTATTTCTTTCAGAAAAAATATCAAGAAAAGCAGACCTTAGCAGAGTTTCCTAGAGAAAGCTCAACTATTTTTAATTATTTTTACAACCCCTTCCGTCCCTCATCGGCTCCCATCCCTCATCGGCTCACTTTTCGACTGACCTCTCTTTTACAGTCGTGGGGATGATAATTTGCGGTGTGTGTGTAGGATTCCATTCCTTTTCTCCTTCCGCCCCTTCCCGAGCCCATTATGTCGTAATCCGGGGGTTCCTCTACCATTCGCACCCTTCTCAAGGTCTTATACTCCACTAGCGCCTCCAGGATAGGATTGGGATTGAGAAAATTTACAGGAAGAAGTGGGGGATTATTTAAAGGGATCGAGAAGGCAAATGGGGAGCTTAGAAATACAAGAAAAACCAATTTTCAGGTGGCGAAGGTCGAAGGCGAGGCCCTGGCACGAGAACTGGGAGTGCCGTACTTGGAATGCTCAGCAAAGTTGCGGCTCAATGTTGACCAGGCATTTCACGATCTTGTCCGGCTCGTAAGGTGGGTGGGAGTTTTTCTAGGCTTGAGCTTAGGCTTAGGCTTAGGCTTGGCTTAGGCTTGGGCTTAGGCTTAGGCTTAGGCTTAGGCTTAGGCTTAGGCTTAGGCTTAGGCTTAGGCTTAGGCTTAGGCTTAGGCTTAGGCTTAGGCTTAGGCTTAGGCTTAGGCTTAGGCTTAAGCTTAGGCTTAGGCTTAGGCTTAGGCTTAGGCTTAGGCTTAGGCTTAGGCTTAGGCTTAGGCTTAGGCTTAGGCTTAGGCTTAGGCTTAGGCTTAGGCTTAGGCTTAGGCTTAGGCTTAGGCTTAGGCTTAGGCTTAGGCAGGCTTAGGCTTAGGCTTAGGCTTAGGCTTAGGCTTAGGCTTAGGCTTAGGCTTAGGCTTAGGCTTAGGCTTAGGCTTAGGCTTAGGCTTAGGCTTAGGCTTAGGCTTAGGCTTAGGCTTAGGCTTAGGCTTAGGCTTAAGCTTAGGCTTAGGCTTAGGCTTAGACTTCGGCTTCCTATCATAATCTTTTGTCAATTCTGTGTAATTTTAGAAGATACCAAATCCTCGACCGGCAACAACCGATGAACGGCCATCCCTCCGCTGATCAAGCAGATAACGGCAAACCCATCTCCCCAGCGAAGAAAAAGAAGAAGACAAATTGTGGTATACAATAATACAGTACTCCTCCGTTATACCGAGTATAAATCGGACCAAAATAGCATCTAGTAAATATAGAACCATAGCAAAACTCTCAGGCCTAACCCATTTTTTGACATGCATTCAAGGGTCCCGCGCGCGCACCGCCAAAATATCCCTCATTTACATATGCTGTGCTTTTAATAATGAAATGTAAGGGCTTTTCTTTTTCTTAATTCTTTTTCTTGTATATAAACAGTGAAAAATCCATATATGCTAATTTTTTGAACCCCATTCATCCACCGGTGATCCACGACTCATTTGAGAATATCCGCTTTAGCCCCCGCAGTTTTCATTGCTGCTTTTTTCTATGATTTAAATTGGCGTTTCTCTGCTTAAACTTAATTAATTGACAACAGAAAGTGTTATAAAATCTAATTTTCAAATTCTTGAGCTTTGAAACTTTATATTTTTTGAAAATTCTAGTTTAGTAAATTAAAAATTTAAATTTAGGTTGTTTAAGCAGATATCGCCTTATTTTAATGAACGATTTTTCCATTTTCTATCTGTACATCACGATATTTCTTTAATTTTTATATCCAAAGACCACCCGCAAACCCCACCAATCCTTCTCAAAATGTGATCGATTTCTTGACTTTTCCGTTTTCTTTGTTTGTTTCGTGTTTTTTTTTGTGTCGCATGAACAAATATATATCTGCCCCCGGCAACCATACGCAAATAAATATTTTATTACTTATTATTGGTATAATTAAGATGAAGCGTTCACAAATTAGGAGTCGGCTTTTTCAAGCTGTTTCTTCTAGCGCTCTAGTGGCCGCCGCAGCACGACTTCTTCTCCTCCTTCTTCTCACCACCTGAAAAAGTGGAGATAAGTTTTCCGATATTTTTTCGCGGGCGCGGTATTTCTTATTGAAAAACGGGTGCCGAAAAAACCCAGACATCACTCCACGTTTTTCACGGGGTTATAGCTTTTACGGCTGGAAATCCAAGAAAAAACGGTCGAGTCAAAGTCTAACGTGAAAATGAAAGCTAAAACTAGAAGTAGAAATTAGAAAAAACTAGAGACTCGGATCTAAAACTAGGCTTAAGCTTCGGCTTAAGGTTACGATTAGGACCCTGGGCTTAGCCTTACTACGCCAAATATTTTCCGCTCGGAACCCGATCAGGATCCCCTTAAACTATTTTTTTGCCAAAACTGGCCCCTCAAAAATTGTTTTTTTTTTAAATTCCCGAGTTTTCTGGTCCTTGTCAACCGTTTAAAATCACAGATATTGGAAATCCCGGAATCCTGCACTCTCCAGCCACCAAGACCCACCGGCGCATCCGGTCTTCTTTTCCGGGCACGGGCAGTTGGCGCATTTGCAGTCGACGCACTTGCATTCCTTGCCCTCGGCGCATCCTGAAAACAATAAATAGAAAAGCTTATGCTTGGAGTATGCTTCGACTTAAGCTTGGTTTTGGCTTGGTGTACGTCAAATCGGGCTTACCGGATTTCGAGAGCAAACGTACAAATTACGGTATTTTGTCTTAGTCTGCCAAAAACCATTAAACCACAGGTTTCACGCTTTGAAAATATATATATATATATATATATATACCTCCATTTAATTTTGTCCAAAACCTACCACAGTTAGTTTCCGGCATGTCGGATTAATAGGAACGGGGTTGGTTGCGGTGTGTGGAATGGGAAGGGGCAAATGGAATGGGGGGTGTGCTCCAGAAAACACACGCACGCGGCGACCGGCTCGAATACGCCCCGCGGCGAGAGAGTGGGAGAACGGAGAGGAAGCAGAGAAACAGACGGAATATCGCCTAGAAAGGGGGTTGAAAAAGGGGCCGTCCGCATGCCCTCCAGTCATCTTTCGGAGGCTGGGACGGTGAACAAGTTTTGCATTGTGGAGAGAACAGAGATCCGCTCGGACACCTCCTGGGGGCACTTTTTAGGGGATGAGAACTGGTTGGGGTGGGGGAAAAGCTACAGTGTTTGTTGCTGTGGAGCTACCTCTTTCGGCTTAGGCTTAGCTGTGGCTGAGGCTATTTTAAGCTCACGGCAAATTCAACGCCTGAAATTTCCTTGAAATGATCACATGCGGCCTCGCCAAAATTGCCCGCACTACGCCACAAACCCGTTTATATACGGTGTGATTCTCGATTGTCAAATTGCCATTTATCACTCTCAATCGGGCCGACGTCATCAAGCAGTTCAGAAAAAAGAAAGCACCATCACAAAACTCTTTTCGGGGGCGGAAAAGAAATGTACGCACGGGAGGCGATAAATAACTACAAGGTTCTATGAGCACTCATTGCATTTCAAAGGGTTTATAGAACACGGAAAATTAGTAGAAAAAGATAGAACCCGTTTCAGGGATATATTAGGTTGGTCGGAAAGTAACTAGAACTTTTTGAGGCAGAAAATTTTAAGGAAAGAAGCATTGTTTCGCCTCGATATTTTGCTGAGTGGGAGGTCATATGTTCTAGTATTTTGGGTTAAAATATGAGCATCGAACTCTTTAAACGTGCTGAGCTAGAGATCAAAGAACGCGCATCAATTGAATTCTGTTTTTTTTGGTCTTCGAGGGTACTGCGCCCACCGATCTGACTAACCATTTTTTTCAATGCGTCAGTTTTGTAGAGGAAAGTTTGCACTACAGACTGGTCAACACTAGAAATCTGGCTTCGGCCTCTTTAAATTTTCCTAGGTCGATTCAAAAAGATGTCCATATGGGTTTAGAGGCGCCAAAATCCGTATTCCCTTCTTCGACGGTTTTATTCAAATCGCGTGGGTAATTTTTTAAGCCGTTGCGACCGAGTAAGGCCTAGATGCCCCTGCATAGAACACACAACTGGTTTCCGAGGAAAAGGTTTACATCTCGGAAAAAGGAGGAAGATATCGCGATTTTAGGCCCAGTTCGCTGTTACGGTTTTTCGACCAGTCACTTATGGTTTTGAGTTATAATATTTTGCCGGCAGTACCCACTGGCATGAGGCTATTATACCATAATACAAAAAGAATTCTAGGCTTGTGCAGAAAAAAGAAAGAATAGAAGTTCAAGGATACCTTCGGGTCTCAAGCTCGGTCATTAAGTCCTATAATAATTTTCAAATTTTTGAAAAACCCTCAGTCAATGCGGGTTTTAGACAATTGCATGATGTTGCCACTACTGTGCTTCTTCGAATCCATGGCCTACATCGGCAGATTATTTAGGCATCTAATTTATGCGAAGCTTCGAGTCCGAAACACTCAGTCATCAGTTTTTGTTTCAAAGAAACTAGAAAATTCGCTGAAATTAAACTACGATGCGGAATCCAGCCCGGTGGTTCGAAAGAGCTTCCCTTGGCACTGCATCATGTTTAACACCTCTCGCGCAGTGGCGTTTTTTCAATATTTCTGCGGCCGAAAAGTTTGGGGGCTCGCGGATGTCCGCGCGTCGGGTTCTTGGGTGCCCCAAGGAAAATCGTTAGAAATACAAGTACAGAGGTGGGATCCTCCAGATTTTTTTAGCGTTAATAGCAGACACATAGGGCTTTCTGGTGTAGGTTACAGCTAGTCTTTCTTCGCTCTAGATAATTAAAGAAAAATTTCCGAAAAAAATTCTAGTTACTTTCCGACCAACCTAATATTATAGCAGTACAGAATTCTAATCATGTTTTTCAACACTTGGAATAATTATAAACTCCAAATCATATCTTTAAAATGTTCGGGAAATCAAGGCCAAAAATCGAGAACCATCTTCTATTGGGGTTATTGCTGCTACGCTTCATCCGCGCGATGCCAGCTCCTCGATTTTTCGTGCTGCCACCGTCGACCCACATCGGGCGCAGAGGCTTTTCCATTCGGGTACGGCAGAACGGTAGCCGATTACGGTAACATGGTCTTAAAATAGCTTATTGTAAAACGGTTTAAAGGGACGAGAAGATGATAGAAATGTACTTCGTCGTTGATTTTAGCTTTTAAGGGGACAGGCAACGTTAAAAAAAGTTTTTCGTTATGGATTAACAAGGTTCCCGCCCTGGCGACACGCGACGCGTACACTCGTGTTTTCACAGCGTAATCGGTTACGTTCCCTTTAAAAGACCCGAGTTTTTGCGTGTCGAATGTCGCGGGCTCAGGAAAATCCATAAAATCCATCGCATGCAAAGATTCTTCAAATCCATGGACTTGGCTTGCCTGTCCCTTTAAAACAGCTGCTACCCAAACTTACCTTCTTATCCTGGACCGCATCTGAAGCGGCTGCAAGCTCGCCTTGGCCTTATCCCCAGGAAGCGGTGGCAGAGGAGCCGGCCGGAATGGAAGGCTGAATTTCTTTTTTGGAGGATTTGTAAAAGCTTACCTTTTTGGCAGACTACCGCGATACCCGATGAATCTTGCATGAGACTTTGTTGATGCTGGGAATATGCGCTTTCGCGTCTTTATCCGCCGCCTCGTCCAATTTACCGCAGGATGTTGTTGGCCCCGGGTTTCGCGGGGGATTATTTCCGGCGACTCGGCGGTGGAGATGAGTTGGCGGGGAAGGGTCTGAAAATTGTAGAAATTATGAAAACAAAGGAATATCGAAGATGCAATTCCTGAAAAATTTCTGCTAGCCTGCCTTCGGTCCAAATTTTACAGAATTCAGTCACCACTCGATCGTAAAGAATTTCTAGGCTAGGTGCAAGTTTTCAGCTTAAGCCTAAACTTAGGCTTGGCTTAGGTCTCCTAGCTTCTTTAATAACTTTTAAACCCTTACCGAAAATCCTGCTGGTATCTGCTCGGCGACAGCGACCCGGGTGAGCTGCTGCTTCTGAGGTCCAACTCGGGATGGTTGGGCCTCAAAGCTGAGATCGGCAGAGTTAAACGGAGCTCGATCTTCCGGCAAGCCAGCTTCACCCTGAAAATATGAGAAATAAAACCAGAGACGCTAGACTTACCGATCTTGTCGAGTCGATCAGAACAACTGGGGGTACGGTAGGCCGGAAGAGGGGTGCCGGGATTCCCTATAAAGGTAAATTACGCTATTCTAGTAGCTAGCAGGTCGTTAAACAATACATCGCACTACCATAACCCTATAAAACTCTTGAAATTGCCCAAATCCATGGATAACTGTTTACTTTACTGTCGCATAATCGTCAAAAACACATTATAAACCTACAGGCACAGTAATACTATTCGTTTCGATCGTGAACGGCCCGGTCATGATATCCGCCCGATGTGAAGCCTTGTGCTCGAGCATCAGCTCTCTTGACAGCTCTTCCAACGATGGTGTCCCGACGTTTCGGAGGTCATTCCATGGGATTGTCACCTACAATTTACGCTTCGTTATTTAGAAAAAATTGGGGGCTTCTTAATGGTGCTAGCAAGTCCTACCTAGTCCCCTATCCGTTTGCAAAAAAAAGAGGGTAAAACAGAGGGAGAGGGTGTGTTTCAGCATGGCTTATATTTGTCTAGACCTACGCTAGCTATGGAAGGGTCGATTTCTAGCACTTTATGGTCCAGTTAGACTCGAATTTCCTGTTAACGATTAATCTAATGATACCTCCTCAAAAATCGGCACCGGATTCGGGAACTCGACTGATCTTGGCGGCTGTGGCACTCTGCCAATTCCGATCGGAAGTGGTCCAGGAGCGGGGAGCCCGATTATTCGCGAGTTCGAAGCCAACGGCAATGGCTTTGGCTTCGGTCTTCTGACTTCCTGAGATCCTGAATTCGAGACCAGCTTCAGCACCGAGTTCTTCGGTGCGGTTAAGGTCTTTGGCTTTGGCCTTGGAATCGCTCGAGGAGGAGCTCGCGGTGGTTGCCGGATTGTGACCGTGGTTTCCGGCCTCCTGGTGGTCCCCCAATTTTTGCTCGACGTGGAATCTGGAGATGAATTTGCGTAGACTTTTTACCAGCAGCACTAGGTAACTTACCTCGACACTGCACACAAAACCTCTGAACGTCATCGGCTTGTTCGCCGCTGAGGATTTGTTGCCGGAAGGCTTCAAGGAGGGGGCAGGATAAGTTCTAAATTGCGGAACGCTAATCGGAAACCTTTCTGATCGCCAAAAACTTACAAAAAAAATCCAAAATCCAACTCCAAAAAACTAGATTTTCTCGAACCTGCGAGCTGCTGGCGGTATTTTCAGTGAACTGGCAGAGCTTGGCTTTGAAGTCGTAGTAAGCCACCTAGAATTTTTTTGGGGTCCAAGGGATTGGTAAGGCAAATAGCAACAATTTGATTTAACTTAAATTTGACTCACATCACACTTTTTCATGTAGCAAATCAGCGCACAGTCCAGCGGCGTCCTCACGACGTTTCGATCCGAAAATATGGCCGACAGTTCTGGTGGCAGATCATTTGCCGAGAGTACGTCGACACGATTCTGACAATCTGAAGAGACACATTAAATTTATATCAATTTACAATTTTTGGAATTTTAGAAAAAACCAATTTTTAGAAAATCACCTGCTACTGCGGCCACTTTCCTCTGTAGCCAAAGCATCGTGAGTAGAAGCAGGCTATGGCGCATGCCGCATATGGGAACGCTAGAAATTAAGAATTATGAGGCATTATTTATAGTCATTTAGAATAACTTTCAGATGGAAAAATAAGTGGAAAACATGGAATTTTTGTATCTGAATTCAAAAATAGTTGGATTTGGTCATTTACCACTTGGACTTGCTCATTTGGACATACCAAAAAAACCCAGAATTGGTCGACTTTTTAACCAACTTGATTGGCGCATTAATAGCTACGAATTTCATAGAATCGTTTAAGCAACAAACATTTAAAAATCAGCAACCAATCCAGAAATAAATTACTTTCTGAAAAACCACAAAATACGAAGTTTATGAATTGCGCAAAAATGGTCAAGTTTCATCCCCTAAAGCCTTATCAACAATTCTTCCGGCCTGTTAATGATTTTACGAAAAGGATAGACCAAAAATGGCTTAGAAAAACGGTCAAAATGGCGAAAAATTAAGGCAAAAAAAATTCATTGGGAAAAATATATTTAAATCGCAAAAATCTACAGAAATTTCGGACAAAATCACCCTCGAAAAAGTGAAAGCAAAAAGGACGCTCCGTGCGGTGTTCCGGTGGTTGGGCAAAGGGCCAGTATTTCCCCCAGGTGGTGATCATGTACCGTATCGAGTCGAGGAAGGGCAGGGCGGGCTGGATCCAGATGGGAGGATGGAGGGATGGATAGATAGCCTGGAGGGCAATTATCAAGAATGGGAACACCTTTTGCGCCCTTGATCTTGCTCATGCTCGCTCTCTCTCCCTCTCTCTGGCGGTCTCTCTCACTTTCTCTCTCTCTCTCTCTCGCTCTCTCTCTCTGGCGGTCTCTCTCACTTTCTCTCGCCCACCATTCACCCCCACCAACCACACCCCATTGGCACCTCGTCGCGGCACCCAGAATGGCATCGACAAGATCGGGCGGGTTCTTGAAAGTTTTGGGACGGGTTTCAGGTCGCACCCTGATAGAGTCGAGTCCTGAGTCTAGCGTGAAAAATAAGGAGCTCTAGCGAATTCTCGACGCCAAACTATAAGGTGCCATCCTGGAAATCACCATCCCCAAAAAAATTGCTAAATAGTTGGTGATGGCTTCGAAATATAGCCCCCACTTTTTTAACTTTTCGGTATCGTGTGCATCTACAGAAATTTGAATGAATCATACGAGACAGACATGTCGAAAAAGGTAGCCAATTTTCGATATTTTTGATTTTGGAAAATGCCGCGTGAGAAGGCATTGGTACTAGCAATTTTCGTGTAGAGTTTTCGTATGTGTCGATGTTCTCGGCTACCCTATTTCAACAAAAATGGATTACGAGGGGAAGCCAAGATGCCGACAGCCAACATACCGACATTAAAAATACCCACAGGTAAAATGCTACCTTACGACTTTAAAATCCTGACAACCAAATCACCAACGTTAAAAATTCCGAGGGCCAAAATGCCGACACTAAAAATACATACAGGTAGAACACCGAAATTGAGAATCCCGACAGCCAAAATACCGATATGCAAATTGTTTACAAGAAGTGTATTCAAACTAGCATGAATGCGCGTCTCCCTCAATTTCGGGACTACTTTAATTCTGTGCCGTGTCGGGATTTGGCTGTCGGTATCATCGTCGGGATACGAAACACGAGGAAGAAGCTCGCTACAATGAGTTTCCGAAGATCTCCCACCCCTGCCGACCAGTCCAAGGCCGCTATATCGAAAAAACAAAGGTCAACAACGGGCCGGTGGCAAAAGCCGCCCCCGTTTCGATCCCCCATATCCGGCGATCCAATCTTGACGGTATGTCGAGAACAAGCCGGGGGGAGGTGCCAACAAAGGGCTACTGTTAGACCGGAACCAGCCGTTGTCGGGTTTCTGTTACTTTTAAAGGGGCGTGGACGACGGGAAATCGGAACGAGAGATCGGGAATTTAGAGCGAGAGAGCGAGGAGAGAGAGCGGGAGGGAGGGAGAGAGAGAGCGTGGGCGAGAGAAAGCAATATAACTGCCAAAAAAAAACGATAAAACATCACAAAAAATCATGAAAAACCGAAGAAATCGAGTTTTTCACGGTTTTCGGCAGCAACCTAGTGGCGGCAAGGAGAACAAAAATAGACAACAAAACTCCCATTTTTAAGATATTTGTTAAGCTAGCAAAAGAGTTAATATTGCCGCCACGAAGAGCCGGTTCCGCTGCATTAATCGTTACGATTTTGTAAGCCCTTATTTTTCCGTTGTGCCAAAATGTACAAGCCAGCGAGCCCGCAGAAGCCGGTCGCCCCAAATTGGTCCTTGTTTTGTTAGGGTGAGAAAGTGAACATTCGCTAGCGAGTCTGGCTTGGTGGTGGGGGATTTTCGGCCTCCTAGAAGTGGCAGGTTTAAGGTATCTCGAAAAACAAAAAAACAGGTATTTAAATGAAATTTAAAGGATGAGCGGATCTACCTAAAGGGATCCAGGTCGTATCGAAAATGCTCTTTTTTACGGCGGAGAAGTTACGATCCCATCGATCGGCAGTTAGTTTCAATACTTACTTTTTAATCTCATTAAATTTAGTTAATAGGGGGCTGGGTATCATTAATGCGCAAGATTCATGAATTTATGCAACTAATAACTCAGACGCTACAGTATTGCTGTTCGAGATACCGATTAAATTTGACCCTTAAAAACCTAGAAAGTACGGCCCCTCGTGGAACTTGACACCTTCATGTAGGTTCAAACCCCCCAAAACGGGCTCACTTGATCGGCAGACCAGAACGAAAAACGGATATCCCCGGATACCTAAACCCCCCTGACAATACAACCCCACCCCCACCGCTCTGGGATGTTGAAAAGTGGCTTATCGCCCCCGCACTAGTATAACCGGGTTGAGCCCGAGGGTTGAGGAGAAGCCTGATTCCGAGGTGGTGCCCTTCTGCGCTAAAAGTCGCCCATTCGGCAGCACGCGCGTGCAGGTTGACGACCCGGGGCTGTAAATCTGCCGCGCTTCAGCGCCCAAACACGAAGGCAACCCCGCGAGCGCGTTCGGGCAAGAAGAAATTGGCGCGCGCGCCGGGAGCGTGTGTAATTTGTGGAAAAGGGTAGGAGCAGTACAAGGAGGTGTATTTTGATCTCTTCAGAAGCGGGAAAGTATATAAGTCGGAAATCGTAAAAAATTCAAGTAATGCGAGCTGCGGAGATCCTTTGAGGAGCCAATTAGCTTTATCTACGTAAAAAGAGGCATAGAGTAGAATGGTAAAAGTTATAAAAATTGCAGATAAAAATTAGACAAATAGCTAGAGTCATTGAAAAAACAGGACGGGCTAGCAGAGATCCTCTTAGGGAAAATATCTTTAACTACGTTAAAAGGAGTCGAAATCATACGAAAAGGCATATTAAAGTTCCTAGAAGCAGAAGAGGAGAATTGGAAAATCAAAAATCAAAACTATTCAAAAGAAGACGAGCTAGCAGGAATTCTTTGATGAAAAAATTAGATTTAACGATGCAAGAGGGGTAGGAAGAAAAGGAAAAGAAGATACAACAACTAAAGAGATTGTATAGAAAGCGTTCAAAAATAAGGCGGGCTAGCAAAGGTTTCTTTTGATGAGCAACTTAGATTACTTACTTAAAAAAAGTAAAAAGTTAAAGAAAGAATACTTAGATAAAAGTTACTGAAAATTATAAATGGTACACTACAAATCGTATCCCACGACGACATCCCTAGAAGCTGATCTACAGCCTTTCACAGGCTCCCTCTAACGAGCCGGGTCACAGCGTAGTCCCTCATCTTCCCCTCACCTAATGGCATTCATCGAGACAATGTCGTGAACCTTAAAAAAAATATCAGACTCATGAAGCCCTCCGCAAAGAATCCCCCAAAAGAGCCCAAGCACACCCGCTGAGCTCCTGGCAAGACATCTACATACAAACGGTCAGCACAGAGTTCATCCGTGATTGGTCTGCTCACACGACCAGCCTGCACACGCCCGTCCATCCATTCGGGATTAGTGGGTTTTGGCGCCGGTCCAGGCGCTCACCTCAAAACTGGCCCCGCCGAATTTTTGCGCCCTCGCCTCGGGCGTCGACCCCTGCTCCTGCACTAAAAGCCCCTTTTTTCACACCCGAATTTGGGCGGCCGGCCAAATGACTTTCCAGTCGCCTCCCCGATGGCTAGACTGGGAAAACGGTCTAAACTGCCCGGGCGCTATCAACGTTACGAAACCGACGATTGCGAATCTAAAAAGTATTTCCTTGAATTTTTGGTGCTTCACTTTTAGCGGGGAGGGGGGTTTAGCGCGGAGCGAACTTTTTAGCTGCGCCTTTCCGCCTTTATTTACTGAAATAAAATATAGCGCTCTTTTGCTTATTTATCTTTCCGGCTCAAACAACGCGAAAAAACAACAATAACAAACGATCCTATCAACTACAAACAAAAATAATGATGGTCTACAACAACCTATGCAATTTGCAAATGTACATCGGCCCAAAATTCGAGGGGATAAACGGGAGTAACAGGAGACCATGTTGAGTGTTGTTGGCGAAGCGGAAGAGTCCGGTCAGCTCGAGATGACGCTTCAGAAGGGTGAGCGATTCCTCGACCACCTAAAAATTAGTTATTTTCATTTAAAAAATTTAATATTTGGCCAAAAACCGGGATCTTCCGTACTTTTCAGGAATTTAAAGTTTTTGACGCTTAGGCCAATAAAAACAGCATATAAAAACTTCCTCTATTTTATTAGAAGAACTTAGCTCCTAAGCAAAATTGTTAGAAATATTAAAAAACCCAGATTCTTACAAATTCTATGCAAAATCTTGTCCAAAATGCATCAAAATAATCTGCTTACCCGAATCCCAAACTGTTGCTCGGCGATGGCCACCGCATTCTGCACGACGGCCTCATTTTGGGCGGGCGACAGCGTGCAGGTTGAGTACACGACGGAACCGCCCTTTTTCGCAGATCTCAACGCGTTACTAAAAATTGTAATTTTAGCTACACGATTTTCCTACACTAAAATTTTCGTCTGCAACTGCGGCAGGTCGAGCCGTTTCTGAGTATGCTGCAGCTCAAAAAGCGTGCCCTCATCCTGGCTGACAGACAGCCGATCAGACGAGCAGGGAACGTCAGCGAGCACCTAATAAAAAAATCAGCGTAAATTATCCAATCTACCTTGTCGTATGCCTCAATCTCATCCCAACCCGCCACATCACTGGCATCTTTTCGCTTGAGAATCACCTGAAAATATTTTTTATGAATCTTACTCGAAGGTTCTTCACCTTTTCCGCCGCCGGACTGTCGGCAGGCACATAAAGTGACAATGACCGCTTCAGGTCTCCAAGCCTGGCAAGCTTATAGTCGTTGCACACAATCTTTTCTGAAACAAAAGATTTTAACAAATTTTTGTGCTAACTTGGCAATCCTGTCAGCAGGGAAAGTAGGCTTTTGCCACCGGGCGCCGCGCAAAGATCCAAAAACGTGTCGTCCTGCTCAAAATTTAGCGCCAAAACCGGGACCACAGAGCCGCCATCCAGCAGCCACCACCCTAAAAAATCTATGTTAGTTTAGACGGAATAAATTACCTGGAACGGCGTCCGAATCTTTCAGCGGTGGCGGATATCGTGAAATATCTCCTCGTTGCATTGTCCGGATGCGTAGATCTTTCGGGTATTTTAACGCGTGCTTCCGTATCGGCAGTTCGAGCCCATCGCCTTCGAAGCCAGTGACCCTAATACTAGTTCGACATCACGAAACCAAGCTTACTGAATATCTTTCAGCTTCTGCTCTTCCGTAAACTTCAGCCCCAGCTGCTGGTCGTACTGCGAGAATTCGCCGGGTGAGGAAGCGAATTCTTTGAGGCCGGCTTCCCCGCGCATCTCATCGGTCTCTCGGAGCGCGAAATTTCGGTCTAGCGATGTGCCAGGCTCCTGAAAGCGCCTTAATAAAATCGCTAAAATCAGTCTCCACCTGATTTTCCCGCAACAGCCGATCCGCATCTTTTTTCGCGCCCTGGGACATCTAAAGAAAACATCCAACAATTTAGAGCCATCGCTCACCTCTCGAATTTTGTCCTCCTGTCGTTTGTCGCGAAATTTGCCCTGGATTTTTTCGAGCAGATCGACAGCGCCTTCTTCTTCTAACAGCAGCACGTTGGCTTTCCAAGACCTAGAAAATCCTTTTCTCGTAGCTTGAAACTCACTTTGAAAGCGTGTTCACAACTGCGACATATTGATTCGGCATCAATAATCCAAGTCGAATGCTTGGCCACCTAAACAACATCATTTTTTAGATAGTTCCAGGTTACTTCTTCCCGAAAATAGGGCCGTAATAGAAGTCGAAATGGTCGAGGGCCATAGAAGAAGGATTCTTGTTCTGTCGTACGGATGCTATCTAAAAATACTAGAATATATTGTTATTTTTGTGGCACCTTTGGCTTGAATCTGTTGCGCTTGCCCCTCGACGTTATGTTGAACAACGGGCGAGCACGGAGGAGATCTTTCGATAGCATACTGAAAGGATCATGTTACATTAATCCAAATTCCTAACGGCAAGTAAAGATCTTTGCGCCATCACACCGATGATATTTCATTGTATAAACTTATGCATTGCAATCCATCCTATTCTTTCAAGTTATTATTATTTATCGCGGAAACAACTTCGAAATAAAAGCACACAAAAAACACTCGTATTGGATGGAGACCGCAAGCAGAAAAAAGGCTGACAAAAATCATAGATTCGGCAATCGATACTTTCGGATGAGCTTGTCTCGAGATCCGGTGTAGATAATGTCCTGGTTGAAGGCAATGTCGTAGACCGGATCACAGTCGGGCCCGCTCAATTCGTACTAAAATTGCAATTATGTAACTAAGTCCCTACCTACCTTGGGGTGATCTCGGAAATTCACGGAGTCGTAGAGTCCAACGCTCCCGTCGTCTAAACATATGTAATGGCGAATTTTGAAAATTAACACACGGAAACAGACAAAGATCCCAGCATTTCGCCATTTCAGCTTTTCGATGTTGCCACGGGTTGTGCGCAGCAGAGCAACGCGAGAACTAAAATAAGCCCATTTTTCGAAGTAAACTAACAGACCCGTTCGTTGCGTTATAAATAGAAAGATGGCCCTGGTCATCGCCACAAGCAATTCTCGCACCACATGGCGAGAACGACAACGTGGAAGGCGAGCCAGAGACAGAGGCTGAGAAGACCTGAAAAATAAATTGAATGTAGGCCTGAAAAACGAAACTACCATTTCTGAACTATCAATGGGGTACACGGCAATCTTATTCAACGAGCAGGCAACGGCAATTAGCGAACCAGCTGAAATTGAGGATGAATAATCCAGCATCGGCGTACCCGGGTTCAAAGCCAACGCGTTGCACTCCCCAGATTCAGGCGCCCACGTCAATACGCACTCGCCCTCGGCACAACTCCATTTCTAAAAAAATTTGATAAATCAAACAAGGAGCAACAACCTTAGCCGTGCCGTCTCGGGAGCAAGAGACGACCTCACGCCCGACCCCGAGGATACCGACGTCGGTGATGGCTAAAATTAAGCTTTTTCGGGCTTCTAAATGCTTTCTACCCATCATGTGTCCCTTCATCGTCCGCGCCACCTCGCACGTCTCCACGCTCCAGACGCGTAGTCGCATATCCGCGCCGCCACCGAGCACGACCAGATCCGAGGGGAAAAGCCGAGCCGTCAAGTGGAGCATATGGCCTTTCAGTTCTCTCTGGAATGGCAATTTGTAAAAAAAAGGAATGTTGTACCAAAGGGCGTCCGTCAGTCGTTCCAGAAACTCGAAGGGCGCCATAAGAGTCTGTGGAGAGGAACATGTTGCCTGAAGATGCAACATCCAAGGAGGCGATCGGTGCCGAGTGTACGTCTAGAAAAAAACAATAATTTAATTTCTTAAAAATTAATGATAAATATTTTCTGAATCAATATCCAGTGCTTTGCTCTGCTCGCTCTCACTTCCCCAAAAAAAATTCTACTCATAACAGAGTCAGAGAAATTCCATTTTTTTTGAAAATGTATGACTAATCTTGAACCACAAAGCCATCGGACTTATGCGGCTTGATTTTCGTCATTATTACATTCTTGCCGTATTTTCCTGGAAGAGTGCCCGGGGCAGGCGTCTCCCTTTACGTACGGCACCTCCCAGCCGCGGCGGGGGGTCGAACTACCGCCGCTTTCCCTCCAATCGCGCCCACCCCCAATGAGCCACGAGCGCTGTGAGCCATGAAGGCGCGGCGCGTGCTATTAGGCACGCCAAGGGACGTAGAAACGTACAAACCTCCGTATTCCACCAGCGGCGCAAGAAAATACGTTTTACGCCCGGACGCACAAGCCACTTCTAGAGCTCTCTAAAAGAAAAATAACTTCTAACATGGTTTCGACCTACGCCTCTCAAAGCAACCGTAAAACTGCCATCGCCCCTCTCGATTTCGATGTCTCCAGTTTTCGGATCCACAATAGCATCGAAGAATTTCGTCTTATCTTGGCCCGGCTTCTTCAACCCGACGAAAAAATTATACGGCGCAGACCTAGGCTCCCAAAGATCAGCCATTACACAAACACTTACGACAAGCTTCTATGCCAGTCATGCTGAACAATGAAAGCGCACTCGTCTAGCATCAACTCATTGTCGATTTCCATTACTAGAAAAATTGTGCGTGCGCTGATCAAACTGTAAAAATTCAAAATGCCTGTATCGTATCACATCGCATAGCCGTTATTCGGTAGAAAATTTATTACACGAAAAAGGAGAAGATCGCTAAACCAAAAACACAGGAGCAAATGACGAGCCGAGTGGTACGACTAAATTTGGAGGATCTGCAAAACGGGAAAGCCAAAAAGTTATTATCACATTTCCAGTGGGGAGGGATACACTGCAAGGCGAGGGCGCGCGCTGCAACATGGGGTGGATTTCAGAAAAGGGTCGGAATTGATGTGCACCAAAAATCAATGGGAAATTTGGGATGGAAGACGAAAAGACCGATTCCTAGAATAAATAGCTGCCAGCAGATATATAGTGTGGGGGAATGGGTGGGATTGGGCTGATGAGTTGGTGGTTGTTCCGTTAGTGCGCTGTGGTGGCGCGGAGATTTGGCACGAAACGAACGTCTTGTTGTACGAGCAGGGAAGGGAGTGGGCGCAGAGAAGCGAAAAATTGAGTGCCGTCAGATCACCTGGAAAGAAAGGGGATAAAATAGATTTTGAGAAAAAAATCTGTTTTCTTGTGCTTTGTTTCGCTTCGAAAAAGCCAAAAATCTCGCAAAATTTGGGAAACCAGTTTGATGTTTGTTTGTTGTTCCAGCAACGCAAGGAATATCCGTAAATAAAGATTTCTGAAATCAAAACCCACCTTTCCGAATCAACCCAACACAACTTTGCCCGTATCCTCCTTTCCAGCCCGTCGCGGCTTTCCCGTCGTGAATGGAATGTATCGGTACTTGATCATGTGCTAAACGAGAATTTTCAGCCAAGAAAAAGCAAAAACCAAGATTTGACGCTTCATCGTCAGGAAGAAGAGGATGAAGAAATACATGACGAGGATTGGCCAGAAAACAGGCACGTCAAACACCTAAAATAAAGCTAAAAGCATGCCAGGAAAGAATTACCTCGAAGAACGTGCAGAAAAACCCGATCATGGTAGATTTCATCATGGAGAGCCTAAAAAAGTGTTGAATCTGTACGCAACCAAGATTTACCAGAACTTAAACTCCGGCAAACGGCGCATAAACGGCCGGAATTCATCGTTGTTCCTGGACGGCAACATCGGGCCATCCTCATCTAAAGAACACATTGTTGAATTCAAGCAATAAATACCATCGTCAAGTTCCAAAGCCGGATCAATAGACGGCGTCAGGAAGAGCAACAACATATTGAGGTAGTAGATGAAAAGTGCATACGTCACTATGTAGAAGCCCTAAAAATCATTGCGTCGATCACAAATTGCAAACCTGTAGGTAAAAGATCCTCAGGCAAAACGCGAATACGGTCAACACGGCCAATACCCATCGTACGCCAGTATGTGGAGTAAGCTTGTCCAGGTAGTATTGATATTTCTAAAAAAATAAGCGCTAAAGAAATAACTCGAGCATTCAAAGTTTAGTATCAAAAACTAACCACTTCCAGTGAAGAGAAGAGGCGCGAGACGAAGCCCGGTTCGTCCCTGATGTTATCCTCCATACTCGGCCAATCACTGAAAAAGATAGCGTATAGAAGCAAGTGAATCTTTTGCGGTAATTGAAACGAGAAGCTGAAGCTCTTTGGCAAAGAATTAAGGTCGAACATAACACGTCAACGAGAAAGCGTGCAGAGGGGCCCCGCGTTGCCTCGTGAAGAAAGAGCCGGCTGGCGGATGAAGCATACTAGTAAGCGAAAAATTCGTTTGAAAAGTGATACGGGCTCGAAAGTTTGTGAAAATTTTTCGTGCTTTTTTTAGACGATGTGAGAAAGAGCTACCAAACAAAAAGGCAAACCAAAATTTCTGAAAAATGATAAAACTGAATGCAACGCGAACAACTGATTACGGAAATGCGTCGCCGTATTCGCGGAAACTCCTGTAAAAAAAAGAAAAAATAATCGAAACTAAAAATAAACATCAATAACTATTCTCTTGTTATTTAATATCGTTTTATTTCTCTTTTATGGTGTCAAATATCGATGTGCAATCAACCCAAATCCAGCACAACCGACTTCATAAAATTTTTATCAAACCAAAAATCACAGTTGTACTTGAGGTGCACGTTTTGATTGTGAATACTACATATTTAGGAATGTCCGTCTAGCGATAGCAAAAAAACAACAATTGGTGAAAATCAGTGTTGAAAAACCATGACGAATTGCGTACATTTATTTCGTGGAGATCAATGTCGTCATAGCGCTGCCGGGCATTGCCAGAAGGCCACTAAAACGTAATTTTCAAAGAAAATAATGAAAAACATACCACTTCCGTCGCCACATCCGACTACCACGTCGCCGTCGAGATAGTCGAACCTGCACGGCTCACAGTGGAACTTTTCGGACGTGTAGAACTCGACGGGTGTGCTGGCCAGTGTGAATGCCTAAAGACAGAAAGATGCCAGAGTTTTCACTACCAACCTTCAATCCATTCAGCTGCGTTAGCGCCAATATACTTCCGGAAGTCTTGATGACCTGCCGGACCGGATGGCCGGTGGCGACCGCCTTGAACTTGTGGGAAAATGAGAGATCATCGGCTCGAATTGCGTAGACAAAGCCGCTAAAAAATGCGATTAATCTTGTACTATTTCACTACCAGTCCGTACTACCAGTCACTATGTACCAGTCCGAATCGTACCTTGAAGTCGAGATATACGCGAGCCCTTGCCCCAAGGACATGTTCAGCGACGCGGGCACGCTCAGCGTCATCAACGGCTTCGCCAAGTTGCGGCGGTCAGTGACTTTGAGCTTCTTGTCAACACCGTACGAATAGATCAGGGAACCCTAGAAATGTTAAAATATAAAATTTTAACAGGCTCACCTTCTTGGCGATGGCGGTGATGGAGCCGGTGTGTACCTTGCATCTGGCAATCGTCTAAAAATAAATATCGTTTTTGAAAAACAAGGATACTTTGAGGCCATCTCTCAAATCGTTGACGGTAATGTACGAGTGAAATTTGCTGCAGATGGCCACGTTGTCGTCGATGAGCACGCCAGTGACGGCGCCATCAGGTACGTGCTTGGCGGTGGAGATTCGCTGAAAAGACACGTCAGCAAGATGTTGGGCTCAATGAGAGAATGTTTATCTTTAATTGAGTTCTGAAAGTTTTTAAAACCGAAAATTGGTTTTCGTTCCTGCTTTCCAGAATTTTTGAGGACAACTTGATAAAAGTTAGCGCATCCCTATGCTTCTAAACTGACGTATTAGTTTTGCAAAAATACATGCTAGGAATTTTAGAGGCATCGAAACCGCCATTTTTGCGTTTTGTAAGTAAAAAGCATTACTAAATCTTCAATACGGCAATCTTCGGAAACGGATTGAAGAACGTATTCTTTTTTAAGCGGATCTTTTTTGTAGTCCGAAGCCCTCATCCTCACCTCAAACGCTCGCTCTCCCAAATCCCAGAGGCTGATCGTCGAGTCCCAGCTTCCGCTCAACACCTGGGCGCCGCAGTTCGTCGTGTCGACCGACCAGATCCAGCCCTCGTGCGCCGCTTCTTTACCTGCCACAAGCCAAGCGTTTTTTTCCTCTGGGGACTCCTAAAATCATCAAAGCTCTTTTTTACTTATAAACCAAAATTACCCGCATCGCCGCCAAATCGAAGAGCTTCAACGCCCGATCCCTGGCGCCGCTCAGACAGAACTTTCGGCGGGAGGAATTTCTAAATTGGAAAAACTGGACCGGCAGAAAAAAACTTACCGAAACAACTGAACAGCATCCACAGAAGCATAATGGCTGATAGCGCCGTCGGTTATAAACCTGCAAAAAAAAAACGTTTTGAGGCGGTTTTTGTATAAATTAAAGTGGCTGTTAGCGAATAACACACTTGTCTTCGTCACTGACATTCGACCAGCGTTCCGTCTCGAAATAAATGCCGTCCATCAGCTTGTTCGGGTGAAAGTTCTCGCATCTTGTCTCAGCGACCGGCAGCTTTGCGTCCAGTGTTCGCTAAAATCAGAATGAACAATAAAAATGGGCAGTACTTGGATACGCATCAGCCAGTACCGATCGTCGTCTATCGCACTAAAAACAGCAATAAAATTCAGGCGCCTTAGAAAGCCTTACTCGTTGAATATTCGGCAAACCAGGCGTAATCGCGCCACATGGCCCGGCCGGAGATTGTCGAAAATTTGAAGAAGAATTTCACGAGGGAGCGCTGTCAGCTTTAGCTCGCCGCCGCTCGATGAAGCGGCGGCCATTCCTTAAAAAAAGAAATTTGATGTTCCTGATTTTCGAAAAAAAGAAATGATAAGTTTTCTTGAAAAGAACAGTATTAGCTTGATTTTTGAAGAGCCAAAAAAGCAAAGAAAGTTCAACGACGTTTCGGTCGGGACGGAGTTTGTTTTCGGTGCAAAAAGAAATTATATGCCTCAAAAAAAGAAGCCTTCTCAAGTTTCAATGAACTTTTTCCTTTTTCCATAGAAGAACCATAAAAGCCTGTGAATATAGCATGTGTGGGTGTGATGCCTACATATAAAGATGCAATTTTTTTTGAAAACGTTTATAGAACAAAATTCCTGGGAAAGGTTGAAGACACGATCGAGGGAACAACAACGAGGAAGCCGGGATGGGGCAGAGAACGGGGTTTAGGGGAGAGCATTGACGGGTGGGAGGAAGAGATCGATAGGGGTGTAGGTGAGACTCTGGACGCCTGGGGGTTGGATGAGATCCACAGAGCGATCAAGTTATTAATGAAGCCGGAACCGGAAACTTCCCGAGCCCAGTAGGATCAAGGGGTAAGGCAGGTAATATTGGGATAGAGCGAGTGAGTAGGGCGGCGATAGCCAGAATCACAAACTCGATAGCATATTAAAGAATTTGGGAGACAACGAATAAATGAGGCGTATGGGAGCTTAATTTCTCTTTGGTGTCTCCGCGATGTAGCTGTTGATCTTGTCGGGGTCGAGAGCATCTCCATGGCTGTCGTTGGTCCAGAGGAGTAACGCACGATCGAGACGACGCCAACGCAAGTCACTGAGCGGCATTCGAAGGGCGTCCTGAAATGGGGGAATATAGCCTTATTAGGCTATCACTTGAAAGCCATGGAAAATTCAAAATTAACAACGCACCGCGTATCGGATGTAATACACATTGTCCCGTTGGTAGAGCAGTCGATCCCTCAGCAACTGTTCCACGATATTTTCTTGTTGAATGCGCGTTTGGATCACCATGTCGTGGATCGAGATTTCCCCGTGGGACGCGCGGGACCTAAATACCGGTCAATCAAAAATCTAATTAAAACGAACCGGAAGTAACGCAGAATGGATGCTCTCCAGTAGCGGGAGTACGTTTGTAAGCCCAGGTTGGACAGCGGCCTTTCGGGCCCGCCAACCTTGTGCTCGCGGCGTGAGAGTTCATAGCCTGAAAAGAGCGTCGTAAGGAAATATCTAATTCAACTGACTCAAATCGATGAGCAACGATCCGTAGCCCTTCTTCTGTGCGTAGGGCAACACGAGAAGGCAGCTCAGATTGTAGCTCTTGCACGGCTTTTTCTCCTGAAAAAGGAATACTATAATTGAAAGCCGGAACTTAGAGGAAGAAACGATTCTCACAATAACGAAGCGATAAAGTAAAATTAACCTTACCTTTGAAAAGTATCCAACAATCTCGTCACCGGTTGGAGTGTGCTCCGTCAAGACGTAAAACCAGAAATTGCCGACGTCGTTCTGCAGCAGCTTCGAATGAAGGTAGAGCATCGACAAATTACACAATTGCCGACAGTACAACTAAAGTACAAATAAGATAATTGCACGCTCAAAAACCCACGCTTTGTGCCGCTCCATCCACTTCGTAAAAAGAAACGTCGTCGTCTCGATATATTTCGACGCCAGGCGGATGCGGAAACGAGCACAATTCCTAAACCAGTGTTAAAATAGGTAATAGAATCATACCCTGTGAATGTTGAGCTGATCGAGGCCTTTACCCCAATTCAGACAATGCGGACAGACGGAAATATCGGCAGCGCCCACCAGGAATCCTGGCAGACTGGCCGGGTATTCTGCCTAAAGACGGGATCTCCAAGAAAAGCATTGTCAGCCTACCCTCATTCGAGGTCGATTTCCGACGGTAATCCAGGCTTCGCCAGGAATGCGATTTGCTCGACTTGTAGATGCTCCGCTTCGGGGACCAGTTTTTGCCTTGGAATACCTGAAAACAGGGTGTCCTCAAAAGGCCCAAAAACAGCCATAAATAGCAAAAGGTTTATAACGCACAGGCCCATAGCGTGCTTGTTCGCCTCTTCTGCGGTGAGGTCTAGCGGGCAGCTTGAAGAAGTAGAGGCAACTCCGAGGGTTCCGCTAGTGCGGGCCTTTTTAGTCTTTGTTTCAGACATCTCGCATTTTATCTAAAACAGGTTCGCAAACAGTAAATTTAACTACCACTTCCTTCCTTGGTATTGCCGAAAAAGGCTTGCTCAGTCTGCTGTTCACGACGTCCTGGAAATCCTTGCGGGTGTTAGAGCCGCCACCGGCGTTCCAGCGAATCTAAAAATATCTTTGTATTAAATCGAAGAAATCGATACCTCTGGTGAAGCGGGAGGCTGCCGTGGAGCGTTGAATTTGGCTTCCTTCGGGCCCTTCTTTTTAGAACTAAAAACATAGTAAGGAAAAGGTTTCACCTAACAAACCTGTTGGAGTACATAAACGACAAATTCCCGTGTCGGAGAAGTTGGCGTGTGAAGAACAGCTACCGTGCCAGGCGCGGCCACATTCGGGGCACTACAAAAAACGGAAACTACGCTAACAACCTATAGACATACTTCTTTGTTGCCCGAGTCGTCAATAAGCTTGCTGCATTGCGCGCAAAGGATGCATTGAGGGCACATCCAGTCGTCGCGCTTACCAAGTCGCATCGCCGTCAGAGCGGTGTAGCGAAGGCACGAAGAGAGGTGATCTGTAAATCGAAATAGGTAAATCAGTTGACAAGAGGCTACCCGGACAATTTTCGCACAAATTTGCAAGTTCCATAAAAACCGACAGTAATACTTACAATATCTATGGCAGTTAGAACAGTTAGCCATCAGTTCGTCGTCTTCGTTCTGGCACATCGTGCACAGCTTCTCGGCCTCAGCATCTAACTGATGGGTCTTTCGCGTCTTCTTCCTTGACAGTTCCGGCGTCGAGTCTTTTTCCGGGGTAGGATCTGAGCATCGAACTGCATTTATACAAAATAAACTGGTACCTTTCGCACTAGCCGGTAATTTGCGCTTGGTACCTCTGGCGACTCGGCTGACCGGCGTTGTCGTATCTAAAATAGAGTTTGATAGAGTTGGAAAACGGCCAGGTCACAAAATTTGCCAGAGGGCTTTTAAAATTACCTTTTTCTTTTTTCTCACCATTGCGTAGACGTTCAGCTGGCGTCAATGACGGTGATTTGGCTTGGGTGACCACTAAGCAAAAACTAGAAAAATTGCGTGATCGTACCTAGTTTCTGGACGTCAGGCTCGTTGTGCAAAGCAGCTGGGCTGTTATTAGAAGCGTTTGAAAGGCGAGGCCGGCGAGAAGTCGGTGTCTCGCAGCCCTTAATCACGAATTTTTTTGACATGCTTGGTTTATTGGGTGTATTTCCAAGCCATTAAAAATTGAAAAGGATTCTAGGAAGTACCGATGATCTCTGGGCAGCTGAGCTCCTCTGGCGAAACGCAGTGCACCGCTTTTTGCGCAGGCTTGTCTCCACGGTCGGAGATGGCGTCGTGTCACTCAATGTGATCACAGAATCAACTTGGCTCTGGCGCATCTTCTTTCTTTTCTGCAGCTCAATCCAGTCGGAGACAAACTCGGGGGATGGTGGCGGGGAAAGCCCGGTTGAACTAAATAAATGTTTTGCAGCACCAAATATGCCTTACTTAGGAAAGTTTTCGCCCCTAGTCGCATGAGAAGGCGGTCGACGGCGGCGGAAAGTCATATCTTCGGGTGACGTTTTTTGACTAGCAACTAAAAATCGCTTATTATCTGTTCATCACCTAACCTGTCACGCAACCGGTTAATTTTAATCAAAGCTTACAGTATTTATCGATGGTGTTGACCGGCTCTCCATTCCTTTCCGCCAGATGACGTGAGGTCCGTTTTGCTGGAGTTTTCTGATGGGATGATCGAGCCAATTGCACCATTCTGGCATGCACCTAAAACCAGATTTTCCTCACGTTTTCTGCCTACCAGCTCTACTCTATATTTTCCATTGGCAGCGCAAAATAGTTTTCAAGCGAATATTTACGATTTAGAATAGTTTTTTGCTCTCTTTATTAGAATTACAGCTGTTGTTCAAATTTGGGACGCGCTGGTTTTTTTTGTTCGGGGCTCAAACTTTCGCAAGAGGCAGCATGGACACGGGGGTCTACGGTCGTTGGCGCACTTTACATGCAGCGGCTGCGGGCAAAATGATGGCATAATCGAGGGGGTTACAACCCCGATTTGCAGAAGGACAGTGGAGATTGTAATATTGTGTTAAGGTATACGAATGTGGCATCGGACCATCTTATATTACAGTGCCCATTGCAGTGGACCCCTTGAGTAAAACTTTATAACGATTTTCCTAATTTGAGTAACCACTGAAAACAATACGAAACAACAAAAACGAACTTATTCAGCCAAAGATCCCGATATGAAACAATAACGGATGAGTTCGAGATGGGAGAATAACAGATGAGGGGGAAGGGGTTGGTGGTGGGTGTGGGTGGGGAGAGGAGGCACTGTTCGCAATTGCTTAACATTAGACAAAAATTCATAGAGAGCTTCAAGCCAAAATGTCAAGCAACAAAAACAAGCGCATAGAAAACAGGCATTGCAAAGCTTGCGTGTACCGGGGGTTACAGAAGAAGGCGTTGGGCCGAACACAGCGTTGACGTCGGATTGGTTGTCGGCATCTTTACAGTTGCATCGACATGTTCGCCGCACCGCCGTTCATCTGGTTCCACACCTTCGACCTGGGCACTCGCTGCATCTGAATAGGAAAGCACTTCCGTAATTTAAAAAAGATATACCTGACTCGGGTCAGCCCGCTTCGCCAAACCCAACTGCATCAAAAGCTGGTCAATACGCATTGGTGCCTAAAGCTAGTTTTAAAAATATGAGAGCTATATAACCTTGTCCTGCTCTTCGGGAAGCGTCAGCTCGACGTACGGCATCCTATCATCAATGTGGTAGCCGACAATATGAGCCTCGAGAATCTATGCCGAACGCAAATTGAAGCATCGCAAAAATCCTTACCTTCCCGCCGACAGCATTCTGCACCACCTCATGAGCTTCGTCGGACCAGATCCAGCTACCTAAAAGGATGGGCATAAGAATAACCGCAGTAATATCATACCATCGATGGGCTCGACGTGCGCCAAGTAGCACTCCACGGCCTGGAATGGCAACGCCAAGAAATCGGAGCGGATTTGGCGCAGGTCATCGCGCACGACGCAAGTATAGCCACCATAATCGACGAATCGGACGAGCATCTAAACAAGTTTTACAAGGTTAAATTAAAAATTACCTCATCACTCTCATCACAATAGCTCACGGTCATGGCACGGAACCAGGCATCCAGCACGCGGACGGCGCAAACAACACCGGCTATAAAACAATAATATGAACAAGAGGCGTTGGTGTCACCTATGAGTTGGTCATCATCCAAGCCAGGCACGTCGGCGGCGTTAGCATAGTTCTGCAGCATGTGATGGTCGAGCAGAGCCAGTGAATTGAAGGATGGATGCGTGGGCTGTTGCAGGAAGAAGTGGCTGGGGTTGACGACGGCGGACACGGTCACTTCGGTGGAGACGCACTCCGGCAGAGCAAGCTAAAATGTCACGTCCGATCAGATCAAAAGGTCCTAGTTTCATAGCGGGCGTCGAAGTAAAAACGACAAAACCGTACCCAAGTGGGCTGCAACTGGTCGTCAGACTGGTAGGAGATCGATGGGACGGCGAGCACCGGCTGCAGGTTCAACTCCGGGAAACGCTCCGGCGGGAAGCGGTTGCGCAGCATGCAGAGGCACCTGTTGATCTGCTCCCGTTTGCCGCGGACTTGGCAGATTTGATGGGTGTCGACCTTCTCCGGGCTGTAGTGGGGCCGGATCTCCAGCACGACACCGGTGCGAGTGCTCAATTCCTAAGGAAATTAATGGCTAAAAACCGGAAATAATACCTTGATCGTTTTCCCGCCCACGCCAATCACGAGCCCGACGTAGCTGTTGTGGATCTCGAACTCGTACTGGGGGACGATCTCTCCGCCAGCGATGGGGTGCATGGCCGGAGGAGCCGTGGCACGGCCGCTGTCAACCGAGGCTTGCTGAAAAAAAACAGTTTTTGACATTTGAACACAATATTTTAGATCAATGACATCTTGGCACACCACATGCTCTAAATTTGAATATTCCAATCGGGCGTGTGCGAGCCGCCCAGAAATATTCGCTCAGACTGGAGCATAAAATTGACTATGAAACCCGTCAACTGCCCGAAAATAGCTCGGCAAAAAAACTCACGTCAGAGTCCGGCGTCACCTGGCTCTCGCCACGCTTCCTATCACCGTGATCGTGGTCCTTTTCCATCTAAATTGGGGCTAAGGAAGTTAGAGGGTAATCAATCACCTCTTCGCTCCAGGAGAAAGTGTTGGTGTCGTTGTGTTCCAAGGCCAATTCAGGCTGCTTTGGTGATGTGGTGCTGGTGAAGTCGGAGGTTTGAATATCCGAAGAGGTCGGAAGATTTTCGTAGATGGCCACCGGCTTGGCCTCGATGACCAACTCTTTGTGTTCGATTTCCTAAAAAAGAGCTGAGCTTTTAAAGTTATACTAAACCTTCTTCTCCACAGAGTACTCGGGCGTCTTTGGAATCTCCACACGATAAGAGCCCCTTCGTGATCGCGGAGGCTCATCCTTAGGCAGTGACGGGGTCGGCGTGGGCAGCAGCGCCTGAAATATAAAAATTCCAAAAAATCCAAAAAGGCGTACCACCGTTTCGTCGACCCTCTCCTCGATAATAAGCAGTGACTTCGGGACGGAGGCAGCCTCGAGCCCGATGCTTTGTACAGACTTTTCAGAATTTTTCTAAATTACTATTGGAAGATCTTCTTGATATTATACCTTGGTCATGCAAGGGATCTGAATCTCTTCTTTCACCTGCGGCACCAGATCTACGAGCAGCTTCGTCTAAATGGAAGTTGCTTACGAGAACCGGAAACCTACCATGTCAATATCCTCAAGCACCACGTTCATGTTTCCAAAGAGGGCAAACGCATCGTTGATAATCTTGTTCCGGATCCCTTCACGGTCCGCATCGAGTGTTGAACTGCTGTTTTGTTCCTAAAGCAAATGTGGAAAAATTAGACGTGTAATACCAAAGCATAGTAGACGATCTCCTCGACGGCGTTGAACAGAAATTGATCATAGTTATCCCCAAAGCGCGCGTAGAGCGTGACCAGCCTGTCAGGGTCAGGGTGGAAGGTGAAGCGAAGGACAACGACCACCTCACGATCATCTAGATAACATTCGAAAAAATTTAAGGTTTCCAGATACCTTTAGATTTCCCCTGAACGCGCAAATTTTTCTTCTTGCTGCGAATATCGAAGATGACAGCCTTTTGCTTGAATGGTATCAAGAAATGTAGCCCTTCGGCCACAGTATTTTCCTTGGGGCCCGTTGAGCGATCGACGATGACGGCGCGGCGGCCCGTTTTTACTAAACAAAATTAGTGGAGCTAGTTAAGTTTGATGGCCCCAAGGGCGTCAAAAAATTTTTGCCTTACTAATTTTTGCCAAAGGCGTAAAAAACGAGTATTCTGGGGTAGTTTGATGCGCTGAGTTCGAATTTGCCACCCTTCGACTACAAAAATTTAATTTTAGACTACAAACTACAAAAAGTCGAAAATCGCCAAGTCACGCGAAAAACACCTTTCCGGGGTGGTTTTTCGCGCTGAAGCCGAATATAACAATGCCGCAACGCGCAAACCCCTATATTTGACCATTTCATGACTTGTAAGCCATATTTGGGACAAGTCCGAGTGCTGTGAAGCGGTCCCAGGCTTACAACCAGTCATAATAACGACAGCGAAAGTAGTCAACGGGTACCGCCTAGCAAGGTCCAATACAGCGAAGCCCCGTGGCTGGTCCAAACTAGCATTCATGTTTGAGCATAAAAGTGAAATTCATTTCAGAAATCGGCTTTTATAGCGAGCTGCAATAAAATTATACCCGCGGGACCCGATGGCATAATCACGTTAACCGTGATAGGCCTGCGGATTCAAAGCATTTAAATTTATTATTGTTAATTTTCAGATTTTCTGCGTTGTAGTGTATAGTATATACGGGTTTACGCGTTGCGGCATTGTTATATTCGGCTTCAGCGCGAAAAACCACCCCGGAAAGGTGTTTTTCGCGTGACTTGGCGGTTTTCGACTTTTTGTAGTTTGTAGTCTAAAATTAAATTTTTGTAGTCTAATAGTGGCAAATTCGAACTCAGCGTATCAAACTACCCCAGAATACTCGTTTTTACGCCGATCGGGGGTGCCCGATCGGCAAAAATTTTTTGACGCCCTTGGGGCCATCAAACTTAACTAGCTCCAAATTAGTATCCAACTGGCAGCGACAAACCGTAATAACTTGAGGCCAGCACGATGCTGCCGCCCACAGCAACCGCGGCAAGCCCAAAGCCGAACCGTCGGGCAAATTTTTGCACGTCCGTCGCCATACAGAAACGTCAAAGTGTCTAGTGCGGAGCGAGCTGAAATGTGAATGTTTTGCGAGGAAAGTAAGAATCCTGAAAGAAAAAAAGCGACACGCGAGCGGAAAAAAGAAAAGTGGAAAATGGCGTCGAATTTTGCGAAGGGGCGATTCCACGACATTCCTTTGTACGCGCGGGTCGCTTTCTAGCAAGCCAAGGGAGCGGAGCGTCGTGGAAACCTCCAATTTTCGGATAAAAATTTGTGGGACCATGACAGGTTAGCAACGACATTTGAGCAACTCGGCAAAAACGACAAGAGAGCAACTGCAACTTTTAAGCAAACAGGCCAAAACGACAAGTGAGCAACTTTCGCAAGAAAAAAGAGAAAAGGCGAATAAAATAGCAGTTTTCATTGCTTTTTCTTAGTTTTAAAAATACTTGGTGCTAACTAAAGTCTTCTAAAGCTTAAATTATACCCCGGATAGGCCGGTTTTCGGACCCTGGGTCTTCGATGACGCCGTTTTGTGTTATTCACTCAAAAAGATAGTTTTATCCGGTTTTCACTTTATTGTTGGTTTGTCCGTAGCATTTCCGCGCAGATACATCCACGTGTTTGATAAAATGGACTTTGGAAATGAAAACCGATCAAAACGTATACTTTATTGGCGATTTATTGGGCTTTTCAAGTAAAAAAATCACGTTTGGCTCTTATTTATACTTTCCTAATATTAGAAACTTGTTTCTCTATGATTTCGACAAGAAAACAATATACAAAAGCACAACATTTTCATAAAGTAGTGTATTCAGAACAAGCAAGGCTAATTACCTGAGGAAAAACATACATCCTGCAAGAACCGGCCTATCCAGGGTATAATTTAAGCTTTAGAAGCTTTTAGTTAGCACCAAGTATTTTTAAAACTAAGAAAAAGCAGTGAAAACTGCTATTTTATTCGCCTTTTCTCTTTTTTCTTGCGAAAGTTGCTCACTTGTCGTTTTGGCCTGTTTGCTTAAAAGTCGCAGTTGCTCTCTTGTCGTTTTTGCCGAGTTGCTCAAATGTCGTTGCTAACCTGTCATGGTCCCAAATTTGTAATACTGAAAAATTCAAGGAAACGGTTTTTTAGAGATTAAAAGGCCGTTCGCGAGGGGCGCGACCAGTGCTTGGCACAGTTTTTTTCGACCCTGTTTTTTTGACGCCATCGGAAAGAGCATGATTGAATTAGTAGGGTAGCACTATTTTGAGAGTTTAAAGATTTAATTTTCGGGGTTAAACTGGGCGCTAAAGTTGTCGACGGCAAAAAATTTTCTCGAAAGTTACTGGACCAAATCAGTCGAAAATTTGTGACTGGGCCTGATTTTGTGTACTGATCATATCTCTAATACATTGCAAAGCTCGAAAATGACCGGAACATAGGTGTACCGTGTACACAAATTCGTTTTTCCGGAATTGCCGGAGCCTGCCGTTCGAGCGGGCGATGAGACTAGCATAGAAAGATGCGCAATAAAATTCTGCATCGATTGATGTATCGCTCATGACCCGCCCGTTCGGCAGGAAATTGCTATAAAGCATTTACTGCGCCGAAAACCGTCCGAAAAAAGCTCAAAAAGTCGAAAACAGGTCTATTCGAAAAATGTGAAGTATCAAAACACATCTAGAGCTCAAGCTGAAGCCTTTGCAAAATAGAGCAAAAAGAAATTCGACTTCTGAGAGGGGGCCGGAATTGAACTGGCGCGAGCTCTGGATTGGTACGCCGACACACCTGCAATACACCACGACTGGGGAAGGGGCTCCCAGGCGGATGGTCCGGGTTCGATTCCTGCCCGAAACAAGCATCTTCTCAGAAGGCGAATTTCTTTTTGCTCTATTTTGCAATGGCTTCAGCTCGAGCTCTAGATGTGTTTTGATATTTCACATTTTCAAAATCGACCTGTTTTCGACCTTTTGAGCTTTTTTCCGGCCGGTTTTCGACGCAGTAAATGCTTTATAGCAATTTCCTGCCGAACGGGCGGGTCATGAGCGATACATCAATCGATGCAGAATTTTATTGCGCATCTTTCTATGCTAGTCTCATCGCCCGCTCGAACGGCAGGCTCCGGCAATTCCGGAAAAACGAATTTGTGTACACGGTACACCTATGTTCCGGTCATTTTCGAGCTTTGCAATGTATTAGAGATATGATCAGTACACAAAATCAGGCTCAGTCACAAATTTTCGACTGATTTGGTCCAGTAACTTTCGAGAAAATTTTTTGCCGTCGGCAACTTTAGCGCCCAGTTTAACCCCGAAAATTAAATCTTTAAACTCTCAAAATAGTGCCACCCTACTAATTCAATCATGCTCTTTCCGATGGCGTCAAAAAAAACAGGGTCGAAAAAAACTGTGCCAAGCTATATTAAGGGTTGGTCGAGTCCCTCGCGAACGGCCTTTTAAATCCTTTTCCGCAACATTTCAGAAGCAGGTAGGCTCATATAAACAGCAGGTACGAAGAGGCACGAAGACGATTGTGACCGATTCGGAAGAGTGTGACGAGGATCGGATGATGTTTTCATAGCCAAAACTCTTTGGTGTGTGCGTGTCAGGACATCCAAGATCGATGTTTATCACGATAGGAATAGAAAATGACATGAATTTATTCCCGTATAATCAACGATAACTGAAAAACATGAGAATCAATCGGGCTCGGAAAGACGTAATATCTTCGCTGTGTTCGCAAGCGTTCAGCGCCACGAGGTGAATGAACTGAAAAAAAATATTATGATTGCGTTATGCGGAAATGGCATACGTTTTAGATGGCTGCTGTGGAGCGGAAGTGTTGCCGCCACCGAAAATGCTGCTGGCCGGCTGCTGGGGCGAGGATGCGTTGGCACCGCCAAAAATGCTGGAGCCAGACGCAGCAGCTGTGTTGCCGAACAGACTCGGCTGTCCCTTTTGTGCCATCTCCTTGGCCGCGGCAGCAAATCCTCCAGAACCGCCACCGAAAGCGGAGCCTTGTTGTCCGAACGGCTTCTGGCCGCCAAAAACGGGAGAACCGCCGAACTGCGGTTTTGCGCCAAACGTTGAGCCGGTCGTGGCACCGCCTGCAAATGGGGGAAATTAAGGGTGATGCCCTGCGCTGAAATAACCTCTATTCTATTGTTTCCATAACCGAAAAGCGGGGATTTATTAGTGAAAAGAAATAATCGATCGGAATACCGAAAATTCTGATAAAATTGCCCAATTTTATGTAATCACGTCAGATTTTTCTCTTTTTTGTGGACTTCATGCAGTTGTTCCGAAAACGATACCTCCAAAGAGGCTGCCTCCTGTCGCTTGCTGTGGCTTGGCGCCGCCGAAGATGCTGGATGGTTGAGCCGATTGTTCCGGTGCCTTTGCTCCAAACAGGCCACCTCCTTGCTGCTGCTGCGGCTGCTGTTGGGCGCCGCCACCAAAGATGCTTCCACCAGTCGCCGGCTTGCTTCCGAAAATGCTGCCACCGGGTTTGGGACCGCCAAAGATGCTGCTGCCCTGGGTGGCGGCTGGCTGCTGTTGCTGTTGACCGCCACCAAAGATACTTCCGCCAGTAGCGGCCGGCTTGGATAAGCCGCCGCCAAAGATGCTGCTGCCGGTGGTAGCAGCCGGAACTGTGCTCCTAAAAATCGTTCAAGTCAGGGCAAAATCACTAACGGTTTGAAGGAGAAGATGCTCGGCTTTGCCTGGTCAGATGTATTGGGCTTGCAGCCGAGTCCGCTAGAAAAATCCCATCAAAAATCGAAGAAATGAAGGTACCTCATGAATCCAGAGCCAAACATGCCGCCGCCCTGATCGTCCATCATGCCGTCGTCTGCGGCCGCTTTGGTGTCATTTTTAGCAGCAAATCCACCGAAAATTGAAGAGCCGGTGGCAGCTGGTTTAGGAGCATCAGCGGTCTGATGAAAAAGAAGTTATGTCATTTAATTCCCAGGTTAAACCTGAGCAGCAGCAGTGGCAGCTGAAGCAAATGAGAAGGGAATGCTGTTGCTTGTGGTTGTGGTCGGCTGGGCTGGCTTGTTGCCAAATATCGACGAGGATTGAGCTAAAAATAGATAAATTACATAAAGTAAATATTTTATACCGGAAGCATCCGGGGCCTTGTTGCCAAAGATCGAAGTAGGTTGGGCTGAAATTTTTGAGTTGATTACGCGGAATAGTATACCGGTGGCGGCAGCCGCAGCCTGGCTGAAGCTGAAGGTAACAGGCTTCGTCTCGATGGCAGTTGTTGTTGCGGGAACAGCATTTTCCGCTGCCGGCTTGAAGCTGAAGGTTGACGGCGTGGGCGCAGGTTTCGCCTACAAAACCAGTTTTTGACGCAGAAATCTTCTAACCGAATCCGCAGCTGAAGTGCCGGCCTGTGGTTGCGAAGCGGCGGGTTTGAAGCTGAACAGGCTTGGCGGGGGGTTCTTTTTCTAAAAAAGAAGATAGGTAAAGCCGAGAAATTTATAATACCTTTTCCTCGGTGCTCACGGTTGTCGTTGTCGGGGTTGAAACTGGAAAAGACATTTGGAAATCGTAAAACGATACACTAACAATTAGTATCTGTCGGTTTGGCTCCGAAAATGCTGCTGGTTGGCACAGCAGCGGGGGCGGCGCTTTTCTCATCTGGTTTAGCCTCCTTGTCCTGAAAATCTGTTCATAAATTTGCGCATATGGTTATAAATAAATCTATTTAACCTCCATAAAACATTCAAAATAGTAATAAAACCCCAGAAAACTTTTTGGCAACGTATTAAGCAACAGAATACCTACATTGAATGAAAAGTTGTTTAGTGATGGCGATCCTCCGAAGATCGAACTCTTCGGTTTCTCGTCCCTGTTAGCTTTTGGGGTGGATTCTTGGATAGGCTTGGTTGGCTCGTCTTCTTTGAGCAGGTCCCGCAGCGGAGATTCGGACGGTGACTCGACAATCGGTGCCGGCTCTTTCGGCGATTTCGGGGCTTCAGATGCGGTAGAGGCTAAACTCGAAATTTATCGCGGTAAAAGAGGTTTGAAGCAAGATACTGGAAACACGTACTTA